GGGGGGGGGGGGGGGGCAGCAGCCAGTCGGATCAAGTCAGTGAGTTGCGGTCACGCACAGTGTCTTTTCATGTCAGCGTGTGCTTCGAGACCACGCCGCTGAAACGGAATGGCCTCATGGAAACCCAGCCAGGGAGGGGGGGACAAGAAAAGGGAAGCGGCCAAGGTCAAGTGGCCATGACCGAGAGGTCCCCACAAACTCACCATGATCGAGGTTGAACGAGAGAGAGAGAGAGAGAGAGAGAGGAAAGGAATCACAAGTATCGACTGGCAGGTGCAGTTGGAAACTGCCGTCGCCACTGTCTGGAACGTGTGAAGATCTGCTGCTCGACGTTCTCCTTTGAGTGTGTGCGTGTGTGTGTGTTTCTCTCTCAAGCTCTCTCTCTCTCTCTCTCAAGCTCTCTCTCTCTCAAGCTCTCTCTCTCTCAAGCTCTCTCTCTCTCAAGCTCTCTCTCTCTCAAGCTCTCTCTCTCTCAAGCTCTCTCTCTCTCAAGCTCTCTCTCTCTCTCTTTCTCTCTCTCTCTTTCTCTCTCTCTCTCTTTTCCCTTCATCAAACGAAGAAAAAGACCTTACAGTACTATTTCGTCATCGCTCTCCCTATGGCTTGAGCCCCCTCTTCCAGCTGAGGACATGTGCTCGTCCTCTGCCCGAAAGACGCGGGCCGTAATGGATGAGTTTGCACATGACATGGTGGACGACGGGGCATATGGTCCTTGACTTCAAAGTTCATTTGGACGGGAGCATGCGCTGCCATTTCAAACGCCGTATGGTTCAAGGGAAAACCTCAGCCTGTCGGAACAGCTGTCTCGCGAGCCAGCACGCGGGTGTGCATCTAAAAGCTCATTCCCCGCTTGCCCGGCAGTCGTCGAGTGTGGTCACGTCAACTGCTCGTCAACTATCCTACTGTGACCACACATGCAAGATCTGCTCCAGAAAAACCACACCTTGGTTAAAGCGCCACGTCAAGTTCACTTTGTCGCTGAGGCAGGTGATGCAATCGCCCTTGTTAAAATGTGAAAAGGAGGTTCACGCTAATATCCTCTCAAAACTATACACGTTTGAACAAAATACTGATGCCGTCCCTCTGTTTAAAACACAAGTGCGAAACATGTGTTGCAGAGTGACCTGTAGATTTTTGCTGTTGTATTATGCTGTTCATGGGTTCCAGTAGGCATACCAAGATAGGGCGGTTGCTGGACACCCGCCCCAGCTGCGCCGCTGCCCCTGCCCCAAGGCTCCGCAAGTTGGCACATCCCCAGCAGCAGCTGATCTCAAGCATTGCTTCTTCTGCCCACCCACAACTGCCCTGCCCTGCCATGGTCAAGCCCGCTCTCTCTTGTGTGCATGCGTGCGTACCGAAGAAAAAGGTAGAGCCGAAGTTTTGGTGAAAACAAGTGTTCTTACCAATTTGCCGCTTTGCTTCATCGGTGGTGGGCCGCCCCTGCTTTTGGCTGCATCATCATCATCATCATCCCCTTTCGTGGTCGGCGCTGGCCTCCCCCTTGGCTGTCGCCGCGTTGAACGAGCGTGCTGCGCAGTTGAGCGTGGCACGTAGCTGGTGCTGCGATCCACGAAAAGGCGTGTGCACTCTGGTCTGGATCGTGGGTGCATTGCCCCACTCCGTCACATCACCCCCCTGGTAGGAACCTCGAGCCAGTAGCTCACAAGTATCAGAGCGAGGGGCATTGGGCGCTCGGCCACGCATCCGAGATGCCTGCATCGCATTGCACTGCCATCATTTGATTCAACCCTAACCCTACCCCAGCCCTTTCTTTGACTCCAGAGCCACCCCGCCTCACCACGCCGCTGTGTGCTTGCAACCCCCTTCGTCTTTCCGCTGCGACTTTCCGCTGCGCAGCTCAAATCGAAACCCGGGCCCTGCCGCCTGTTTTTGCGACGTCTGCGATCCTCAACTCGCAACCATGGCCATGTTTGGCGGCATGAATGTCAAGGGTGCTGACGAAGAGGATCGGCCCGACCTGGCCAACGCTGCTGCAAGTAGCACGGGCAGCAGCTTTGCCTTTATCAACAGCGCCCCTGGTGCGTACCGGCCCAACCGTGCCCTCCCTATCGTGCGCAACGCTGCTCTCATCCTGTGCTTTCCGGCACCGCGCCGCCCCGCCTGTTCTGCTCGGCCTCGCTCTTATCTTGTACATCTCGCAGCGGCCGCCGCCGACGAGAGCGCCGCTCCGTCCAGCTCCGCTTTTAGCTTTATCGGTATGCGCCACAGCACTTTGCTGAGCCAAGCCTGCTCGGCGACCAGCCCCCGCTCATGGCTTTGATGTTGTTGCTGCCCAACACCAGGTGGATCCGCAGCCTCTGACAATGCCGAACCAGCTGTGGAGCGTATCGCGCCGGCCGCCGCCACCCCTCTCATCTCAGCCCGTGCGTCCTTTCTTTGCACCCGCGCTCGTTGATTGTGCTGAGCAAAGACGCTGCACGCTTGATCGTCCACGGTCTAACCCGCCTTTGCCACCTTCTTCGTAGCCACCACTAAGAAGAAAAAGAAGCGCAACCCCAAGATGGTGCGCCCGGGACATGGTCGCTTGGAGGAGGGCGAGGCGGAGCAGCACAGCCCCTCGCTTGAGCGGAAAACGGCCCCCTCTGCTAGCCCGAGCCCCGCATCAACACCCGCCTCGGATGTGCCCGCGTCTACCAGCAGACCACGCTCCCCCGCACAGCCCGCTCGTGCCACTGCTCCGCCTGCGCAAACCAACAATGTGCCGGCCGATCGAGGCGCCGAACCAAAGTCTGCACCAGCCCCACAACGCAAAGCTGAGCCCGCACCCCCTGCCACGGCTCAGACCGCAGGCCCAACGCCGGAGACCATCGCACCCCCAAAAAAGAGCCTTCCACCTCGCAGCGCCAGTCCAACGGCCTCGCGCCTGCCACGCAAAGCTGATCCCGAACCACGGCCAGCGCCAGGCGCGACACTGACCCCAGTCGACACGAATCCCACGCCCGAGGCGGATGACGCGGCGAGTGGTGACAATAGCCGAGGCTTTCTTTCCCGCCTTTTTGGAGGTGGCAGCCGCAAAGCTGATAAACAAAAGCCTCCGCCCTCAAACACCGAACCCCCTCGTACCTCGGTTCCCTCCATTGCCCGCGAACCACAGGGCCCACGCGCTGCCCCTCCAGCCCGCATGAGCCCGGGTGCCGCCCGTGGTCGTGCGCCTGGACAGCGCCCGAACCCCCGCCCTGCCAATGCTGCAACACCGTCTGTCCCCACTTCCAAGGCCGCTGCACCCGCCGTGGCCAACCCATCAGACACTCATCCTGTCCCGAGCAACTCACCTGTTCCGGCCGACCCTGCGAAATCCCAGCGCGCCAAAGAACAGATGGCTACGGATAAGCGCTCCCAGTCACCACCCTCACCCGTGAAACCCACTCCGACACCTGCATCCACGCAAGCGGCCACCAAGGCGGCAGCACCCGAGCCGGCAGCACCCGAGCCGACGGAGGACGCGAGCACGGAGGACGTGAACAAGCAGGAGCCTGAAACTCGCGAGACTGACACTACTGAGACGACCGTCACCAACCGGGCCATGGCCCTTTTGGAAGAGGTGCGCGAGCCCAACGCTGGCGCAGCTGACCACAAGACCCACGCGTCTACCGCGTCGCGTCCACCGGTTGTGCCTTTTGCTCATTGCTCTGCCTCCCCACGACCCGTGTGTAGGCCAAGAACAAGGCCGCAACGGCCGAAACAAAGCTTGAGGAACTCCATCAAGAGCGTGAAACGGTAAGCGTGGCCCCACATCGGAATCCTACCGCGTATCAAGCCGATGCCATGACGCCACACCACTGCACTTGTAGATTCTGGCCCATCAACTCTCCATTTTTGAGGAGCATAAGGACAAGGTGGCCGAAATGCTGGTAAGTGTGCCAAATTCCAGCCGTGTTTTCAAAAATGCGGTTAGAAGTTACCTCGTTTGCACGGCTTGACTCATTTTGACGCTGCCGTGCAACGCTTGGCATCCACACACACACACATACACGCGCGCGCCCCTCTAGCGCCACGAAGAAGAGCTTGAAACAGCTATTGAGGCAGAAGATTATGAGCGAGCAGAGGAGCTTGAAGGTTGGTTGCTGCGCAACGATGCGTGCAAAGTAATCGGCGTTGCACGCCTGATAGGCACCTGACGCGCTTCCTTTGCCAAATACCCTTAGCCCTCATTGCCAGCTTGACTGAGAGCACAAGCACCCCTCCATCCTTCACCAGCGCGTATGTGAAGTGCCGTTCACAGCGTCAGCACCGACGGCCTTGGAGCCAACGCCACCGGTGTCTGTCCTGATCGATTTGCACCCGTCCCCTCTATGTGTATAGGCGCAAGTCAACGCGTGCTTCCTTGCTCCGTCTGCTGCAGCAAGAAGAACAAATCCTGCTTGATCAAGCAGCTACACAGCGTGAATCTGCGCAGACTCTCGAGTCATCCTTGCAGGTACACATGACAGCACAAGGATAGCGTCCCTCTTGATGCTCTCTCTTGGTTGATCTCAGGTGGTGCTTCTTCTCATCCCTGCCCTCCTGTGACATCCTGGTTGACACGCGACACAGGAGCAATTGGACGAGCTCAAGACGTTTCGCAGTGGTTTGGAGGATGCCACGCGCAGCGAGCGCGCACGCATCGACGCCGAGCAGATGAAGCTACAGCGCGGCGAAGCTCACTTGCATGTGGACCAGCAACATCTGCAAGAGGCCGTGGATCGGCTCGAGTCGCTGGCAGCGGAACGGACGGCCGAATTTCAAGATGCCCGTCGGCGCCTTGTTGACGACCGCGAGCGGGTTCGCCGTGAAATTGCCGAGCTGGAGCGAAAACTCCGTGAAGCTCGACACAAGGAAGAGCGCCTGGAGAAGGACATTGCCAAGGAAGATGAGCGCATTGCTGCGGCTGAACAGGACCTAGTGGCTGAGCGCTCACAGGTTGAGGCACAGCGCAGTCTGGTCAATGAGCAGGCTGCTGAGCTGGACGCACGCCGGGCGGCCATTCAAGAGGCGCAGCAGAGCTTGGATGACAGCACAGCTTCTGCCCGCAAGCAAGTTGAAGACTTGGACGAGGCTGCCAACGAAGTGAAGATGCATATCGTGCAATCTCGCCTGGGTCTGCGACGCTTGGAAAAACGCACGGCGCGCTACCTTGATTTGGAACAACAGTCCTTTGCTGGCAGTGACCGCCTGGATGACATCTTGCAAGCGTTTGAAGAGGCCAACGAGGCCATTCAGAGCCTTGATGCCCAGGTGGCCGCCAAAACGTCTGACATCCAGGAGCTCTCCACCAACGTGCTACAACTGCAGCAGGATGTGAGTCTTCAACGCAAGCAAGCCACATCCATTGCCGACCAGCTGCCTGAGTTGACCCAAGCCAAGAAGCTGGCTGTTGGCTCGCGCAATTTCAAAGAAGCCAGTCGCCTCAACGCCGAGATTACGTCACTCGCGGAACAGCAATCTAGCTTGGAGGCCGTGGTATGTGGGCGTGCTTGTGGGCCTGCTCGACAACCTGGCTGGCGTGGCTGTTTCGGCTTCCGCTTTCCTTTTGCTCACGGCTGGCTTTTTTTTTTTTTTCTTTTTTTTTCTTTTTTTTTTTTTTTAAATTTCCTTGCTTTGTTGCTTCCTCTTGTGGACAACCTGATTGCATTTGCAGATTTCGGAGCGGGAAGAAGAGCTCAAGCGTTCGACGACTGAGCTTGAACAGGCCCAAACCGACGCGGACCAATTGCGCAGCGAGCTTGAGCAGGCTCGCCGCGATCGTTTTGACGGCATCATTGAGGATCTCGCAGGGCTTTACGGGGAACTTTTTGGAGAGGCACGCCGCCGCCGCCGCCGCAAACAGCCTTCGGCTGCCCTCGTACAGGCCGATGCAGACTTGTGCCACAGCTTGTTGGTGACATTGTGCGGCGCGCAGGGAACCGACATGCCCGCCTTGGCCGAGGACCCCGAAACCGACGAAGCGCCGTCCACGGATGACGAAGAGATGGAGGACAACGCCGATCTAGGCGTCATTGCTGCGTCGCTGATTGATTTTGGGGATGACGGCCTGGAAGCAGGCTCTCCCGAAGCAGCCTCATCGGGCAGTCCGGCAGGCGACACTGAGCAGGAGCAGCCACTGGTTGCAGCTATTGCAGACGATCTCCTTTCGCTCGATCTCAACACCAGCGCAACTGCGGACGAGCAAGATAACCTCGATGCCCTGCTCGATGACGGTGAGGATGACCAAGCCGACCCGGAGAGCCCAACAGTTGAGACCGAAGACGCTAAAGACGCTGAAGACGCTGAAGACGCTAAAGACACTGAAGATGCTAAAGATGCTAAAGATGCTGAAGATGCTGCCAGCGCCCCTGAGGAGCCCATGAACTTGGATGCATCCATCGAATCGGTGCGCGGAGACGATGTTCCCAGTGATGCTGGCGAGCAGGACGAACGCGACGCAGTTCTCGAGTCGGAGGATGTGCAAGCTGAGATTGAAGATGAGGAGATGGAAGCTTCCGACGCCAGCAGCCACTCTGATGGCGCGGAAGATCCTGCCTCTGATGCGGAGGCACCGGTGGATGGCGAAGACGTCGATGACGTCTCGGTGTCGGAAGAAGCGGCCAACCAACAGGCCAAGGAAGAGCGCAAGGCGCAGTTGGCTGAGGAGATCTGGGAGCTGGAGCAGGGCATCGAGCGAGCTGTTGAAAATGAGGATTTTGATTTATGCGAGGAGATGGACGACAAAGTCAAGGTTTTGTCGCAGGAACTTGTCGATTTGGGTGTGGAAGACGTGGAGGATTTTGTCAAGCAAAGCCGAGCTTAGCTGTCAATTGAGGAAAAGATGTGATTGGACATGTGCTCCAGTCTTTTGATGAGATGGTCTGATGATGCTCCACGGCTCAAGTAAAAGGAGATTGGTCGCCACCGAGTCGCTTTGCTCTGGAAGACAAGATAAGGGGCCCATTGTGGAAAACTTGAGTTGATCCTGGTGTCAAAGCCAAGTAGGGGGTTTGGGAGGGGGGGTCGAGAAGTCAAACTCTAGCTAGCTTTTCTGTTTCTCGTGTGTTTCTCTTTGCTTTTTTTCCTTTTCATGCTTGTTCGACTGGCTGGCTTTGGACAACCGCAAACAGCGCCCCATCTTCCTCCGGGCTCGGGAGGGACGATCGTTGGACCAGGACAATTGTAGCAGAGCTAGCACATTCATCAAAAGAGCAGTCTGGCCTTCATCAATTGTAATAACCATCAGCCCTACCAAAAAAAAAAAAAAAACCGTCAAAATTCATAATCAATTCAAGAATTATTAGCAAGGAACAAGGACCAATACGGCGGTGACCACCGAAGGCGGTTTCTGTTCTTCTACAAGAAGCTTCGTGCGTGCAAACCACCCACAGGTCCACACTCAAGCGACATTCAGGACAGCGAGGCATGCGCTGCCTTACATGTTGACATGACACTTGTGAATCTACACACACATGCTGGAGATGATTTTGGTGAAACGCCCCTTTCGTGAGATTGAGTCGAAGAGAGAGAGAGGACTGAAGTCTTTTGATTTGTCAGAGATAGCTTGCGGTGGGGAATCGAGGTAGAGAAAAATTGTGATTGGAAAATACCTCAATGGAAACAAAAAGGGATAGCAGAGATAGGGGCAATGATGTAGCATTCGCCAGAGAATTAAACAGGAATCTGTTATAAATGAGAGAAAGAAGCCAGAGCTGTCTTCATTTTTATTTGTGCGTAAACGGAGGAAGATCAGCGCGCTGGTCGCGTCGATCTATCTAGTTCAATAGGCCAAGCCGTCGTCTGCCCATGTGTCTACGCCGTCGATCGGCATTGCATGGTAGCAGTCGGCCTGTCCAAGCACGCGTGACTCGGAGTAAATCCTTGCGTGTTCGGAGCTAGGTTTTGAGACTCTTGGATCGGGCCCTTCTCGTCCAGTCCCGGCGTGCCAAGGCGATTCGACCACACCGTCTGCTACTTGTTTCGCACGCATGATGGCAAGAAGAAGGGGCTCAGGGTCCTCTATCGGCATTGTCCGCATCATTCTTATGATGAGCCTGCTGGCGGGATCTCATGCGGCGCTGCAAGATTTGTGTTACCGTCTGCGATGGCGATTGGCTGACCCCATTCCTCGCGAGCGCATGATCCGTCCCGTAACCGGTGCGCATGGGTCTTCAACTATCTGATATCAACTACATTGCGTTTGAAGCCAGTCTCAGGTTGTCATGTTGGTGATCTAGAAAACACCATGCGCCTCACGTTTAAATACCCTTCTGGGCATGTTTACGCCATCTCAGGGTTCCCGCCGGAGCACGCGCTTGTTCAGAATGAGCGCTGCGGGCATCAGTATGCGGCTGGGGACCCGATTCCAGTGTCTGCCCTCTACTCCACCTCAAATGGCAACTCGGGCTGTCAGGTAGGCTGTTGTTGAGAGCAGGTTCTGTGAAGGGGGTGTTTGAGTCCTGGTGGTCCGCTTTGTATCATCGTTCACTTGGGGTGCTGTGTCTTTTCGCAGGAGGTCACGGGTGGCAGTCTCTTCTACGCCTATAATTGGCCCAACGTGCGTGCCGGGCACCTTGGCATTGCAGACTGTTTGCACTTTTTTTTTGTTTTTAAATCGTTCCAAATGCTGCTCCTTTAGGGTGCTTCCGCCAACACGGGGTTTGAGGAACCAGAAAAGGCTCTGTTCTACTTTGTGCAGCGCGAGGACAGCAACGTCAGCTTCGTCCTTGTCCACGATACACCTGGTATAGCCAATGCATCAAAGCGCTTGTCTAATCAATTTTGATTCAGTGACGTCGCCGTCCGGCTCTTGATTCGTGCACGCTCATTGCACGCAATTAATACAGGGAACGCTGATGGTGGCGGTGTGACCTTGGAGCTACTTGCACCAGATCTCGCTGGCCGGGAGGTACGCCAGTTACTCATAAGTGCCTCGTCGTAGCGATCACAAACGGGCGCTGAATGCCATCGTGCCACATAGCTGGACTGGGAGGTGCGGGACGACTACAACGAGGTCTATGAGTATGATAGTACCACCGGTTTAGGCCGGATTGTGCAGAATTGGGCCGTGTGTTGTACAGGTGGGGGGGCCCGTTTTGTATTTACACTTCGCTATAGGAAGAAATTAAGCATCAACCCACCTCATGGCGCACATGGCACGTCGCAGACGGTGCTGCTCTTGGGCCATTGCCTCCGTATGGCTACCGGATCACCTTTCGCTACAGCCGTATCCTGGGCTTGAATGGCGTCCGCGTGGGCAACTATAACGCTTCCACGAATTCCCTTTCCATGATCGAACTCGATCTAGTGCGTGCATTGCCATGCATTTCTTTGCTGCAGCTCCGAGCGCCATTCGTCTGCATCGCCTGTCGCTCACCGTCAAAAGTCGACCACGCGACTTAGGATGACTTGGCCGATGGCATCGAGCTGACAACGTTCACGTGCGATCAAATCTGTGAAGACAAGGTATGCCCCACCTAGCTACAAAAGCCAAGTTGAACATCACGTTCTTTCGCAGCTGCGTGCAGACCCGGCATACTTGCACATCATGACAATCTCGAATTTTCGTTTGAATTGGCTGGTAGAAATCATGCGGGGAATGCGCATCAGATGATCTTTGTGCGTGGTGCGGCGACGAGTGCATCTATGAGGACACGCTCAAGTTCTATGATGTAAGCGTCGTTCCTGTGGATTCAGGATGACTTTTGAGGGGCCAGCTCACAGACCTCTGCACACTCGGGCCTCTCCCAATAGGGTTGCACCTCCGAAACTTGGATTCGCAACAACGATTGCTGCCCCGAATGCACGCTCGCGCGGTCTTGTGACACATGTGCAGAGCTTCAGGGCTGCGCGTGGGATTTTGAGCTCAGCGTGCGTTGCAGAGACCAAGAACACTTCTTTCGCTTCCACGTTCCATCATCAAGACGAATGTGGCCTGGGATGTGTGGATTACTTGTCGACCCTCACACCAATGTTGCTTGTGCTTCTGGTTGCAGAGCTGCGTCAGCGGATCTTATGCAGATCCCACCAACGAGCTGTTCTGTACTTCTGGTGACCACGGCTGGCGCTTCATTGGCGACGGTGAAACAGATGTGAGTGGCTCTTGGGAGTGTGGCAGTGTTGTCGCAGCTGAATGGCGTTTTTTCGTCTGGCTTGTGCATGATCCAATGACACTCTTACGATTTCTTCACCTTGCCTTCGTATCACGGTCCAACCAACTACTAGCAATGCGATTATCCACCTGGGGCAATTAACGACGCTGGGCGCTTTACCAATCCTCGTATTACGTGCGTGTCCTCACTGCACATCCCGAAATTGTTGTGCATGCGCACTTTGACTCTGGCTTCATCTCTCTTTTGTGTGCGTGCGTGTGAATGCGATAGCGAGGTCGAGGCTTTCTGCACAGGGCGCGGCGAGCCAGACTTTGAGGTCGACGCATGCAACTGTTACGAAGGCTATTATGGCATCGACTGTCGAAACGAGGTTTGACACGCAGAAATAGACAGCCAGAGCAGAGAATGCAGGGACTGGTCCCCTTGACTGCATTAGCGATTACTGCCATTCCCCAGACTCTGTATTGAGATGAATGTTGTTCTTATGCTCAAACTCTGCCCCTCCTTTCCTATCGTAGTGTCCCGGTGGCGCCGCCAACCCGTGCAGCGGCCATGGGGTTTGTCACGCCGATGGACATTGCGTCTGCGAGTGTGGATATGGCGGTACGGCTTGAAGGAACGAATGGTTGTGATTTGGGTAGACTTGTTGGTAGCACATATGAGTTGCAAGTGTGCTGACCATGCAATTGGCCTGCCGATTCTGATTCATGCGTTGGCCGAATGCATCGGGATAGGCACGGACTGCGCCATGAACTTGGGGAGTTGCTCAAGCTGCGAGCTGAGCAATGGAGATGCATGCGGTATCCTCTTGACGGACAGCAATTTCAGCGGTTATTGTTCAGGCGGCGAGATTCGGTGCGAGCAAAACTGCGTTCATTGTCGCGTCTACACATTGAGCATCGCTGCGGATGCGCAAGGCAGTTGATCGTGCGGTGTTCGACCCGTTACATCACAGTCGCTTGAATTTCACTGCTCTTGTTTGGTAGCGGTCCAAGTTGTGCATGTTTGGAAGGGTTCCATGGCGAAGCATGCAACGAAACTTGCCCTGGCATGAGCGCCAACGGCACTGGAACATCCTGCGGTGGTCACGTATGTTTCTTGTCGGCTTATTCGCACGGCACTGTGCTGCACTCAACTTGATACAAATGTTCGTGTGCACGCGTGGATTTGATTGCTGTCAGGGAACGTGTGACGCCAACACGGGTGTGTGCGTATGTGATCCTTGCTACACGGCTAACCCGGTGACTGGCTTATGCGAGCCAAAGGCCTGCCCAGTCTGCGAGAACGATGGCTTGTGTGTGTGCGATCGCAATACTGGCGAGCAGTGTAAGTTCTGTGATTGCCATATGGTAAACCCCCTTTTTTTTGTTGTACTTGTCTCTTTGCGCCAACGATGATCGGCCCTAATCTCGCTGGTACTGGAATGGGGTGCTCGGCGTTGAAAACAGATTGCTCGTGCCGCGGCGCGTTTGAGGGCCCGACGTGCAATGTTTGCAGTTGCTACAACGTCAGTATCTCGGCTGAGCTTGTTATCGAGCGTTATGCAGACCCTTCTTCATGACCCACTGCTTCTGGCTGTGGTGTATAGGGCGGAAGCTGTAACGCAATTTCCGGCGAATGCATTTGTGTAGAGCCCTATCGTAGTGAAAAGTACGTATTTGCAAGCAAGAGCAGAGTCATTTGACTGGGATCTTTTCATGACGAAGAGAGGGAAAGACGCTATCAACACTTATCATTGGAGCGCTCATCACGCCTGTTGTGGCTTATGATCCTTTTTAGTTGCGAGCTGGACTGTACCAACGCAGCCGAGGGAGAGTTGATTGGTTGTGTCGAGATTGATCTATGTATGACCAACCAGAGCTTCTGCGGTGCCAACACCACCTGCACGTTTATCGGTACGGCTCTGGCCCCGGTTCCTAATCGCATCGTAGCATTGGCTGCGCGCACCATAGGGCAAAGGGTAATGCCGAAGAAGAAAGGGGAACATTGTGGTGCCGCGTGATCCCATACAGTCTGCCCCACCTGGCAACAATGTACGCTCACGCTCGGCCGTTGTGGGTGATAGAATCAATGGTTTCGCGATGTGACTGCCGGACAGGATACGTGGCTGCTGATGGCCAAAACGTGACGCTGGGCGGTGATTGTCGACCTGTGGACGTGTGTGCAGAGGAGGGTGAGGCCGCCTGCGGGAGCTTCTCAGACTGCACGACAACGGGAGCGGGCACGTACACGTGTGCGTGCCAAGCGGGCTATTGGAGCGATCAGGCCCAACACAATTGCAGCGGTAGGTTGGAATATTCTTGGGTACTTGCGCAAACGGACCGTGTGCAACATTGATGTTGTCTTGCCTAAGCTCATGGTATCTTTGTTTTGTGACGGCGGATGGGGTATGCCGGCTTGTTCAATGCATGGCTACTCAACCCTGAACCGTCCATACGTATGGAATGGTGCCCTGCATAGCCTTTGCCGTGTGTGGCGAGGACGAGCTAGAGGCGCAGGCGCCAACAGCTACTAGCAACCGCGTATGCGAGCGCGTGGCAGCGACCACGACCACGGTGGCCTCAACAACGACTACGACAAGCGAAACAGCCGATGGGAGCGTGGGCGCATCGAGTTCCAAGTCATCAGCGGTCTGTATCTGACGCGCAGGTCTTCTCATCGAGCCCAGTGGCAGCCTATCCTCGTTTGCTCACCGTGATATGCGGCAGGTGGAGGCACCTTTGTACCTTGGACTTATTGCTGGGGGTGGTGTGCTGCTGCTATTGGTGGCGTTGATCGTCATTTTGCGGCGCCGCCGTGCACCAACACGTCCAGACACAGCCAAGGTCAGATACGCAGCTGACTGCTACATGGTGCCTTTGGGGTTGACATCCCACGTTTGGTTTTTCCTTGATGGTATCATTTTTGATTATATATCGAGACACGCGGTGGAAGCCGCACCGAATCGGACGGCACAACTCACGTGATCCAACTCGTGCCACTTGCGCTCAGATGTCTGAAGGAACCGTTGCCTCATTGACTGCGCTGTCACCTCGATGGAGCGATGCGGGCACACACCAGACTCAAATGTCGGATGATGAGATGGACGATGATACGCTGCCTTTGGACGTGTCCCACCTGGATTGGATGGAAGGTCCAACCGATGAGGCCGCGCCCTTGGTCTCGAATGCGTCTATACCTGCGACCAGCGAGATGCAACCGCCGGACATTGCAGAGAGTACGGCGGAGGGTGAGCTGCTGGCTTCGACCGGCATGCCCGCGCCGCTGGATAGCGCTACGCTGGCTGAGACCTCGGCTGACCAGCTGGCGTCTCCGTCTCGTTATCATTACGAAGACCCCTTTGAGAATAATCCGCTCACGACCGTGGTGCCTTTGCAAGCTGATGACCAGGACGAGTGAAGCCAGAGGTCAAGGTTGTGTGGAGCACCTCGGGTTTGAAGCTTTAAGCTTTCAATGCCTTCCAGAAAGGTGTTTGTGGTCACGTTCTTATTTTTTGAATTTTTCGTTTCCTCTTTTTTAGAAGGGGTTGATTTGTTTTGTTGGTTTGCCCGTGGCCCAATCTGGTTGGTTGTCGCCTTCCAAATCAGCCGATGCGTGTGTGAAGCTGCGGGAGGGCGAATCTGCTTTATTCGGGACTTTGTTTGCAGCAAGTGTGTGAATTGATCTAGCTAGATTCCAAGGCTTGCTCGGTTTTATTGCGAATAGCAGTCACACAATGATCATTGCTGAACATGAAAAGGGGTCCGACTTTTGGGACGGATGCTTGGGCAAGGCAGCTGGCCCATTGGCCTAGGACTGGTCTGCAGCATGCAGGCCAGCAAGCACCGGGGCGGCAGCATCGGGTGCGAGCATGCCACCTGATGCCGGGAGCTTGAAGAGCTGGTCTTCCTCCATGCGTGGCACCACGTGAACGTGTGCGTGCATGACGACCTGAGGGTGAAACGTTGTGGGGTGAAAGACATGCTCCTTGTACCCCAACGAGCAAGCCACGCGTGGGAAGACGGGGGCGGGGGGCTCAGGCGAAATGAGGAATAGCTAAAGTGCACCATGTATGTACCTGACCCGCAGCCGTTCCAACGTTGCTGAAAACGTTTACAGCATCGGCTTGCGTACCAGTCTAGCACACAGGATGATGGGCAACAAAGCATCGCGTGTCAGCTCGTCATGGGCCACCACAAGGGTGTTGGGGCGGGGACCGATGCTCGGGCCAAGACGGGTTGGCAACCTTGACAATGTTGATCAGACGCGGGAGGGCACTGAAAAAGTCGGCAGCGGCCTCGGCGGGCATATCAGCCACGCTAACGTAGTTGCCCTTGGGAATCAGGAGGCTATGGCCCTTGACGGCGGGAAAGGCGTCCAGGATGGCCAAAGCATGCTCCGTCTCGAAGATCTACACATGAGCACACCCATCGATACATTGCCAGTGTCAGTCGCGTTGACAGTGCCAGCCATTCGTGACGAAGGTGACGGGGGAGGCAGTGCTTGCTTGACCAGCACCTTGTAGGAAGGGATCTGGCCGTCCAGAATCTTGCGAAAGACGTTATCCGGGTTGTACTCGTCCATGTTGCCGTTGACCGGAACGATGAACGCAGGCAGGCGGGCAGTGGGCAGTTGGCAGCGATGGCGGCGGACAGTCGAGATGGCGAGAAATGGCGAGAAATGGCGCGAACAACAATACATGTATCTGCAAGAAGTAGATTTATTTCTACATTTACTCGGCTTGGAACCCTGTTTAAAACAGCACGATCCTCTTAATTATCGTCGTGTTACGGCTGGCTTGAGCTGAAATCTTCTGACAAATCACAATGTCAGATATTTGCAGTCATTTGACCACATGCCCTCTCTCTCTCTTGGCGAGCGATTTGAAGGACGAAAGGGCAGCGGGCGCGACTCATTGACGGTTGTTGGTGTGTGTGTGTGTGGGGGTCTGTGTGTGTGTGTGTGTGTGTTGTTGTTGTTGTTGATGGTAGTGCTGGGGGCTTGGGGGAGGTCGAGCCATGCCGCCGAAACGCAGTCGGAATAAAAAAGGGCGGCGGCGTGGGGATGCGTCTAGCGATGAGGAGGAGGCGGAGGTGGAGCTCGGCGGCACCAAGGCGCCTGCAGCCGCAGCCGCTCCTGCAGCAGCCAAGGGGCGCCGGGGCAAGGGGGCTGGTGGGCGAAAGGCTGCATCGGGGTTTACAACGGCGGATGTGGACCCGCGACAGATTCGGTTTGCGCACGCGCGCATCAAGCCCATGTTTAGCGGCTGCGGAAGGACGTTGGCACAAACGCTGGAGGAGCTGCGCGATGGGACAACCAAGGTGACGGACATTCCCACGGTGACAGTGATGGTGCGGCCGGACGATGATCCGACTTTGCCAGCCTGGTATTATAGCCTCAACAATCGGCGGCTGTACGTCTTTAAGCAGCTTAGAGAGGAGGGCATTTTGGACACCATTCCCGTCCGGGTTCGTGGCATGAAGCCGCACGAGGTGGCACGTTACACGCCGGACAACTGCGCTCTGCAGGCCAAATTTTTGTTCAAGGAGCGGGCTGCTGGTGCCGACGGACAAGCCGAGGCGGAACGGGGTCAGGATGAGGGTGCTGGTTCAGGGGAGGAGAGCTCTGACCCCGAACCCAGTCGCCAGATTGCTGATTCTGCTGCTCGACTTGCCCAAGACTTGTCTCTGTGAGGCGCGCATGCTCTGCTGATGTGCTTGAGCGAATAACCGTTTGGCTGCCTGTTCTGAATCCCGGTTGTGTGAATTGAGCGGTTGCGTTTTGAGAGCCTTTTGGTCGTCTGCTCTGAGGCGCCGTTCGTGACATCACGCAAGCCGGCGCTTGCTTGCACGGCCCGGCTTGGTCATGATAATAATATTTTTTATGGTAGTTTATGAGCATTCGCCTCGTGAGTCAGCACTTGGCATGTGAGTCGTTGAACGGCCCTTCGTGCAGACGTCGCAGGCACAGCGTGACACTTGTGCTCGCACTCTTGGCAGCGGAGCCGGGGCAATTGTTGTTGGTGTGATGCTCGTGGCAGCGTGGGCAGGGGTGGTCTTTTACACCAGCGTGCAACGGTGCACCAGCATGAGAGTTGAGCCGATCAGGACGCGGGGACTGCGTGACACAACATGCTTTGCGGACCACCGGCGCCACCCACATCGAGGGCATCTGCGCAAATCACTGGCCATGTAGACTCTTGAATATGGTCGACGGCGGGTGTGCTTATCATCGCTTGTGGCACAAGACTTGGTGGGGAGGGAGGGAGGTAGCAAGACGTCGCGTTGCAGAACGGCAAGGAAAGGCTTTGAGCCGGGGCGGATCTGAAGGTTGTTGGTGATGTTCTTTTTGAATCCGAAAAAAGAGGAGGGCGTGCAGTGGCCCACGAGCACCAGCGGTGCGAGCACCGGACCAAGCTGTTTGTGCATCCGATCAAAGCTGCCTGTTTTACAACGTGTGCCGTTTCACCATTCCCCTGTGTGAAAAGGCGTGACAGCCAAAGCCCCTGCTGACGGTGACGGTCGCTTCGTGTTGTGTTGACCGGAAGCAGGTCTCAGCGTAGTGGGGTGTGTGTGTGTGGGGGGGGAGACGTTGCTTGAAAACAAGGGCGAGAGGAACAGGGGCAACAGCGCAACAGGGCAACAGAGCAACGGGGCAACAGGGCAACGGGGAAAAGGGGTGAATTCACAAGGCGGATAAGGCGGATGGATGCATATTATTATTGTGCCGAGGGCGATGGGCCAACACGGGTATGAAATTCGATCGAAACAGCTCCTCCTGCCGCGCTGGGAACGTAAGCATATTGCTCCCCTTTTTGGTCAAGTTTGATAAGGGGGGCAGTGTTGTGTTTCCTGTCAAAAACAACGTGTCAGGCTGATCGTGATTTTGGGAGGCTGCTCAATTTCTGCATTCTACACACAGCTACATCAGGACCCTGCCTTGAAGGACTCCGGCCACACGGTCACAGGGATTGATAAAGAGCCCGGCGGCGCTTGCGCCACATCAGGTACACAGTTGCGGCCACCAAGACGACGCCGATAGGCAAGCCAATACTCAGGGCCAAGATCAGATGGCCGTGGCCAGGTGGAGCCGAAATGGCCGGTGCGCTATTGATACAGTGGGTGCTGGCGGGACCCAGTGCCGTGTAGGGCGTGATACACGCCTGGCCAAGCATTGCTACTAGTGAGTATCAGGAAGCTCACAGGAAGCTCACAATGCACCACATCGAACCGCCGCAAGACGCACCGTGAATACCTGACCCACGTCCACGGGGGCAGTGAGCGCGAAGGTTGCCGTTTCAATGCTGGCTGCCACCGTTTGTTGATCTGCACGCCACAAAACAAGAATCAGGAAGAGAGCGGTTGTCGAGACTTTGTTATAATAATATACGAATAAACGCAACGACAATCCCATACCCAGCACATGACTGGTGTTGGCATTTTGCAAGGACACGTTGTAGTGCACCGGCCCACAACCACCAGTATCAACATCCTTCCAAGTGATGGTCAGCCGGTCGCTGCTCTCCAAGAGCTGGCCTTGCACGCTGCCACCAGTCCACCGGGGGGCAGGTCCAGGTTAGCATCGACTGCCCAACTTCAAGAATGCAAGGCGCAGTGAAACTCACGTTAGGACCTCAATCGCAGATGGCAGGGTCGACATGTTGAGATAGGACGCGTTGCTTGGTGGGCCCTCGTACATGAGGCCCCCGGTGCTCCACAAAAGCTGTAAAGCCACGGTAACGGCAAGCGGTTCACAGTTCTTTGGGAGCGCAATATTTGTGCTGAGACTGCCGGGCGGCATCACTTGATCCGCCACGGTCGCGTTCATGTTGCTGGCCAAAGCGACTCGCAAGCGCCAGGTAAACAGACTCCCCATTTGCACGGCGTAGTCCGGGTTGATGGACACAAAGCAAGTGTTCTCGCCGTCGTCGTGCAGGCAGCTTGGGTCAAGCAGGTCCACCACGGGCGTGCCGTCGGGCGTGGTCATGCGATCAGTCCCACCGGTCACGCGCAGAGCCACGGAGTAGTTGACCGGAGCAGCAGGCGGCGTGTAAGCGACTTGGCCTCTAAAGGCCAAGGCATCGTCGCCCATGTAGGCCATGTCTCCCACCTTGCCGTTCATGGAGCCGGACACGGGGAGAAGGCCCGTGACGTTGTAATTGACCGTCACGTTGGTGGATTCGAGGTACCACAGCATAAAGGTTGTGTGGCCTGTCGTTGGGGCACCCGTGACCACCATTTGAAAGGGCGGTTGTTCATCAGATGGGCTGACGTCCGCAAAGCACTCGCACAGCACATCAAAAGCCTCGCGATCGGTCAACGTCACGTGACAATCTGGCCGGTCTCCGCTGCCGCCCAACACCATTCGACAGGACTCTGCAGCCGCCACGGCCACCAAGCCCATCCACAAACAAACCCACACCGCCATCTCCAACCGTCCAGACGCCGACGCCCCGCCCCTGCTAAGCTGGACCGACCGCGCTTGCGCCGAGAAAAGTATTTGACATGTGATCGACAAAGGTCGCGTGCACGGGTCTGCAATCCACCGACGACTGTCATAAAAGTCTGACATTATCCATTTCGTTCGCGTACGGCTTTACTTACAGCTCGCATGCAACAAACTTGTCTGCAAGCACAACTTTCTCCAGATGCGAGCTCTTCAAAAGTCGGTGTTTTTGGCTTGTAGTGAGACCGCTGTTTCTCGAAGTGAATAGGAATTTTGACTGCACCCCAGTTCTTTTTTAAATCCGAAAAAAGAGGAGGGCGTGCAGTGGCCCACGAGCACCAGCGGTGCGAGCACCGGACCGACTCCCTAACCAAAGCTGCCTGTTTTACAACGTGTGCCGTTTCACCATTCCGCTGTGTGAAAAGGCGTGACAGCCAAAGCCCCTGCTGACGGTGACGGTGACGCTTCGTGCTGTGTTGACCGGAAGCAGGTCTCAGCGTAGTGGGGTGGGAGGGGAGACGTTGCTTGGAAACAAGGGCGAGAGGAACAGGGGCAACAGGGCAACAGGGCAAAGGGTAACAGGGCAGAGGGCAACAGGGGCAGCAGGGCAACGGGGAAAAGGGGCTTGATTCGCAAGGCCGATAAGACGGATATGCATTTTGTGCCGAGCGTGATGGGCCAACACGGGTATGAAATTCGGTCGAAACAGCTCCTGCCGTGCTGGGAACGTAGGCATATTGCTCCCCTTTTTGGTCAAGTTTGGTAAGGGGGCAGTGGTGTGTTTCCTGTCAAAAACAACGTGTCAGGCTGATCCGCTCGTGGTTTTGGGAGTCGGAAGAGGAGAGAGACAAAAGGAAGAACAAAGGGTGTGTCAACGCCACGTGATGCAAGCAAAGGATGGGTTGGATTTTGGTAGCGAAGTATCATTATGCTTGATTGCATCAGGAGATCGGTACCCCACGGTGTGTCACAATACTCATGATGTTGTGCTTAAATGTCCTCTTCTCCACGGAAACATCCCCGCTCAGGATCAACACAACCAAGCAAAATCAAAACGAACCACCCAACCGTTTTGGTAAACACCCCATTTGGCTGAAGGCTTCCAATCCTAGGGGGTCGTGCTCCCCTGAACCAGTGCAACATTTTCTCCCTTCATTCTGCACAGCTCCCATCAGCCCCACACTCGTTCGTCACCTGGTGTTTTCATCAGGACCAGCCTTCACCGTGTTAAGTGTGCCGTTGGGTCTGCATGGGTTGGGGGGTCACTCTGGGTTGGGTGGGGAATGTACACAAGAAAACCCTTTGAATGGTATGTGTAAACAAAACAAGAGAGAGAGAGTGACAGAGAGAGAGAGAGTGACACAGAGAGAGAGAGAGAGAGAGAGAGAGAGAGAGAGAGAGAGAGAGAGAGAGAGAGAGAGAGAGAGAGAGAGAGAGAGAGAGGGAGAGAGAGATTTAGAAAGAGAGAGAGAGAGAGAGAGAAGGGAAAGAAAAAAAAGAGAGAGGGATGGACGCAGATGTTAGAAAAGGGACTTTTGACGCTGATGCAAATCTGATGCTGCTTGTACCCATGACACCCCCCCCATCTCTCTCGCTGTCTCTCTCTCGCTGTCTCTGTCTCTGCCTCTCTGTCTCTGCCTCTCTGTCTCTGCCTCTGTGTCTCTGTCTCTGTGTGTGTGTGTCTCTCTCTCTCTCTCATTCTCTCTTCTTTCTCTCTCTCTCTCTCTCATTTTGTGTCACTGCTGCAATTTACCTCTTCCCTCCCCCCTTCCCCCCCCTTCTTGCTGGCCCTGGGGTGTGCCCGGCGCGCGCTCTCTCCCTCTCTCCCCTTCCCTCGGTGTGTGCGTGTGTGTGTGCACGTTCGGTGTGCGCATGTGTGAGCTTGGAGGTTCGCAGCATTTTCACACCCCTTTCCCGAGGCCCCCCCCCCTCCCCCCGTGCACACCCTGTTACCGCCACGCGCCTTGCCTCCTGCTGCTCACCCAAGCGCGCACTTGCTCTCTCTCTCTCTCTCTCTCTCGCTGTCTCATCGGCGAGCTTCACGTCACCTCTGCCCTCTGCCCTCTGCCCTCTGCCCTCTGCCCTCTGCCCTCTGCCCTCTTGCATCTTGACAGCCCCTTTGCCACCTGACCCCGTCTCTCCGTGCGCTTTCGAGCGCCTTTCCCACCCTGACCTTGGTGCCTTGTTGGCCCCTTTTTCTTCGCTGCCACCCGGACGCACACGTCCCTTTCCTCTGTGCTGCCATTGCTCCCTGGATCACCCGACAAGCCACGAGCCCAAGATTCCTTTCTTTCTTTCTCCTCCTCCTCCTCCTCCTTTTCCTTCTCCTTCTCCTTCTCCTTCTCCTTCTCCTGGCAGGGACAGCATCGCTTCGCCTCTCGCCGGCTCGTCTTCCCTTCCTTTCCACTTTGTTGATTCCTCCCTCTGTTCGCTGTCTGCCTCAGACCAGCAGCTAGCCCCCGACGCGGGGCCATCCTGCTCTTTTCACCGGGAACGAGAGTTTCTCTCGTCCTCCCGGTCGCTGCAGTCCGCTGATGACCCAGTTGGTAAAGCAGGCCTGGGCCAGTCCCATCACAGGCACCGAACTCTGGAACGACATTATTGATACAACCGGTGTCATGAACACGGCCGTTTCGGACAGCTGGCTCTACTCTTCCACCTCTCAGCCCTCCCAGCAACAACAACAACAACAACATCAACATCAAAATCAACAACAACAACAACAACAACAACAACAACAACAGCAGACACTGTTGCACGCTGGTGGTGCACAATCCCACTTCGCCCTAACTGCAAATGACCTTGCACGCGCAACCGCGGGTCGTCGAGCCCCAGACGTATCGCCCTTTTCTGGACAAAGCCTCTCCCTCGGCCGCACTGACGATGACGACCATGATCCTTCTCAAGCCATGCACAACAACTTGAATAACCCTTTTGGTGATCTTGCCCTGTTTGTCGGTATGGACAACGAGGACAGCTTCATGCCCAACAGCGCCGAAGCCGACAGCCAGGACCCAACCGGCGAACCGGCCCCCAAACGGCGACCCTCCTCCGTGGCAAAAAGCACGGCCTCGTCCGATGATAACAGCAGCAGCAACAACCCAGCCCGCTCTCGGCGCTACAACCTACCCTTTGAAGTCGAACGTCAAACGCCCAATGTCAAATCAAAGCTCAAGGTCAGTCTTTTGAAAGGAGGGCCATGGGTGTTTCAACCACACACACAAACACACAGGCAGGCACACACACACAGGCAGGCACATGCACGTATTGCGGCCTCCCCAAACATACCTGGCTGATCACTGCATGCCTTCTCCTCCTGCTTTTAGGGCGTGCGGGGCTATCGCCGCCAAGCCTTGCTTGACAATATGGACGACCGTGAGCGAAAAGCGTACGTTTTACCAATTGCACCCCTCGCTATCTTCTCTTGCTATCTGATGTGAGCAACAGCAACTCTGCCGTCCTGGTCTCACACCTTGCGATTGTCTCTGCAGTGAAGAGGACGCTCGCGTGGAGCGAAATCGGCTCTCGGCGCGTGAGTGTCGCGCACGCAAAAAAGTGAGTCTTGTCGTCAAATTCATCATCACATCCTCGTGGTGATCCGCGGCCCACCCGTGGTTAACACCTTCTCCCTGAACACACCACCACCACCACCACGAGAAACAAAACAAAAACTTAGTACGACAACTTAAAAAAGGCAAACAGCACAGTCAACAAGCTTTTATCCACATTACCACGTGCACACGCATTTCTTCAGTTCCTGTCACTCAAACTCATGTACTATGCTTGCATCGATACCCCCCAGGCCTATATCGAGCTTCTTGAGGCGCGAGTTGCCCGAAACGACGAACTGGTCAAGAAGAACGAGGAACTTGAGGCTCGCGTCACAGAACTTCAAGCCCTATGCGCTGAACAGCAAAAAAGGCTGCAACAACTGACTCACCACCTCAACACCGCCAACGCCACAGCCACCAGTTCTGTTACACACGGAATCAACAGCACTGCTGCTTTGCTCCGTAATCCTGGCTGGAGTGCGGGTGCCCCTGCTGGTGCTGGTCTCACCCCTACCACGACGATGGTCGGTGCCAGTAGCCTGGGCGCCAGCAATCCACTTGCCAACATGACTGTCGGTCGCAACCAACCTGCCAAACCCATCGACTACAACCACCAGTTTATGCTTCAGCAACACCTCCAAGAGTTGCGCCAAGAGATTCGACCTCAACCACACATGGCTCTCAGCAGTGCTGGAGCCATGGGCTTTGGTGCCCCGAATCATGGTGCGGGCAACATTGCCTCTACCATGAATGCCTCCTCTTTGAGTGGCCTGGGCATGCTTGATCAAATGCCTCCCATGTCCTTTGGTTCAGGCGTTTCAGGCTTGTCGACAGCACAGCAGCTTGTGCATCTCCTCGACCATTAAGAGTCGAGGCCGTTTGTGCCTATGTTTTGTTCTCTCTCTCTCTTTTTTTGTTCTTTTGACTTCACAACAAAAGGGGAGGCCAGAGCTTGCTCGAGCCTCGCTTTCTGGCAATCCCCTTTCTGCCGTCACGCGCAGAGCTGTCATGTGTCGCACCTAGCGATTCCGGCGGCTGCCATGTTGGATGCGGTCAACATCCTATTCATTAACATTTTATCAGCCTGGTTTTATGGTCCTCCTGCGAGGCAGGTACCAGTCAGGGCCATCGGTCCATCATTGTCGGTGGATGGTCTCACCTCACTTGGCGTCATCGTTCAAAGTCCCGTTGCACGGGGGGTCCTGTGTTGGTACCAATACCAAGGATTCTATTGCGCGATGAATCAACAGCCATTTTTTTGTTTTTTTTGTTTGGCACAATTCCACTGTGCGCGGGATTACTGTTAATTCAAACTTTTTGGTCAATTGATTCTAGTGTTTGAACGCAGTCATCATCGTCCCCGAATGATCACACAATGTCTTCTTGATTCTTCGTAGCACGCCAACTCAAAGGCGCAACTCTGGAACTAACAATTTTATTATCTAGGTATAAGATCAGATATGACCCATTTGGCATGCCATTCGGTTGTACACAGCACCTTTGCCTTCGACATGTCAACACCAACACACGCGTCAATCTCCAGTGTGGTTTTAGATTTTAATGAAAATCTTGTTGTTGTACATCCATCGACCCAGCAGCACCCAAACGCCAATGTACGCCAAACACCAGAGCATGATCTGAGTGTCAAGTACAGCCGAGCGGTGAGCTTTGATGAATGCATCGTGTTCTGGGCTCACGGAAAAAAATTCAGTATTGTCGTGGATGCAGCCAGCCGCTTGAACAAACGGGTGTCACGGGACAGAGTCATACCTGGTAGTTGTAGCTGGGTTTGTACGGGCGCACGTCGTCGTCATCGCCCCAGTACACGCCCGTGGGCCACAGGATATTTGCCAAGCTTCGGTCAGGATCCTCAAGGTAAAAGCACGACAGAACCCAGTCAATCACGTCGCCCTCAGCACATAGAAAGCTGCAGAAAGACGCAAGCGTCAGGCCATTCGACAAGCGGGATCAATCTTGAGTAGGCAAGGGCGATACAAATCCCAATGTAAACTGAGCACGTACATAACGATGGCGTTGGTGCCAAGCCACATGAAGGGAAGCCACAGCCAGCGTGCAGTGGGTCGATAATCCACAATGAGATAGCAAAGCACCAAAAGGAGCCCCGTCATGCCGCCCGTCACAAGCACAAAGGAGACGGAATACAAGTCTGCCAAAGCATTCGCGGTGAGATGGGGCGGATCGCTGCTCAAAAGCTTGAGGCGAGGGGATGGATGCACCGCCATGCATGCCGCACGTACTAATATTCAGGGGAATACCACTGAAATGTAAGATTAGACCCAGCAATAGTTGCAGCAGGGCAAAGCTGCTCCACTGAAAGATGCGCTCCATCGGGCTCTTAATCTGGCGCAAGACCTGTCGCCGCAGATTATGCCCGTGAGTTTATGATTTCCACGAGCGACGATGAATCAAGCCGAGGGCGTCAACGTCGGGTCACACACATGTCCATAGTGGACGCCAATGATGGTGGTGACGATGGCTGTCAGCGAGGAGACGAGACCCTCCGGGTCGAAAGGGCCGTGAAGACACCAGGCAGGGGCATCAGCTGGTGCTACACACAGCCCCGGACTACAGGAGCTGCACTCGGGTAGGCGCTTGAATGTCACGTCGGCATGTGCTGGGTCGCCCCCATTTTCCGGAAAATACCTATGCATGATTGTCACAGCATGGTCCGATGCCTCAGTGCGTATTCAATGTAGAAAGGGCTTCCCTGATGGCACACGGCGGTTTTCACGTACATGTGTGGCACGGTCAGAATAAGGCGGTCGATGTATGTGGCTGCATTGCAGGCGGGTGTGAGCTGGCCGCGGCCACAGCGTTCACCAAATGCGTCCGGCACCTGATGTGGCGAGCAAGAAGTAATGGGCAGAGAAGCGGTGAAGGACTTGAAGGTCATCGTGCGCGGAAAAAAAAAAAAAAAAAACAGAAAAAAAAATATCGAGATACGCCTGACAACTTACATCAACGCCATACAAGATAGAGGTGTGTACTGCCAGCAACAGCGCTGCGGAAAACCAGTGCCAGCGGTAGCGCCAGAACAGGTGCTGGGTGCGACGCATCCAGTCTAAAATGGAGGATGATTGGCACGTGGGTGGGGCGGGAGCAAGGAAAAGTCCATTTGAAATGACGGGACCATGAGCAAGTTTCCTTCCGACAAGAGCGCTCAGAAAAGACAAATAGGAAGATCAGCATACCTGCCCACGTTCCATTGTCAGCAGGGAGGGCACCGGTGAGGCGCGGCAGGAAAATCTCCATCAGTGCCACGGCAAAGTAGCACACGGCAACACGTTGTAGAATGCCGAAGATGCGAATGTTGGTCAAATCGTAGTTCATAAACGTAATCCCACCCTAAAGGTTGTCCATGAGCGGCCAAGTAGCCACACAATGGCGTAGGTGCATGAATCAGACGCTGTCAAGAAGGCGCGGCAGGCAGTGCAAGGCCTGGCAATAATCGTGCCTGGGTGAGAATGCCGAGCACGAAAAGCTTGAGAAAGCGATCCGTAGCCTTTTTAAAGGCGGTCCAGCGTTGTCCCTGAGCACCAGCTGGAGAGCAAGAAGGAGAGTGAGAGGGGTGATCCTTGCGTGGGCAGGCCACGGTCAGGGGCTTGTCTGCTGATGTGGGTTTGTGGAGGAGGCTTGTGCCTACCCTCGAGGTCAAAACGCTTGAAAGCGAGAGCAATTGAGACGCCGACGATAAAGTCAAACGAAGGCACGACAGTGTCGGCCAAGTGCAAGCCATTCCACGGTGCGTGATCAATGGGTGGAAAGGCAGCTCCCGTCTCGTCCACGAGAATCATGACCGCAATGGTCAGGCCTCGATAAACGTCGAGCGCGGACAAGCGTTCTCGCGGTGGCTTTGGAGCAACGGGATCAGTGGCCAGATCGATGTTGCTTTTGGACTGAATGTTGCTGTCGGTTGAGGCAGGAAGGAGGGGAGTGCGATCTGTAACCAATGCGGCGGTTTCTGCCACTGGCGTACTTGAGTCTCGAGGGCGCACGGTAAAGCCAATGCCAAAACAACATGCCGCAATGTACACAAAGAATACGCCCAAGAGAAACATGAACAGCGTGATGGCTAGAACCCCCGGCCACCATGAAATAAGCGGGGCAGCAGGGCAGCATGAGCTGATCTACAATATCAAAGACGGTTTGCGAGAAGGACACCGATTGAGAGTGTTGCGGGCCTGAAGACCTACCAAGCATCTCGCCACTGGTCAATTGAACCGGTTTGTTATGGTGGTTGGTACTTGAGATGAGGGCAAACTGCGAGTCCATTGAGTCGACATTGGAAAAAAAAAAAAAAAAAATTGAAAAGGATCGATCATTGTCGAAAAAGAGGAAGCGAAAGCAGAAAACTACCGTACACGTGCCAGCAAAAACCTGTCATACCTCGGTATCCGCACTGCAGTAGTCAGCCCAAATGGGACCAATAGGGACGCCGCGAGCTGCCATCTTGCACCGTACTGCGCCTGTACATACGGAAGGTTCGTAAAACACAGTGGAAGGGGAGGGGGGTCATTGAAACCCGGGTCACGCGAATGAACAAGATGGGCTGAGGCCATGGCTTGTCACGTCGGCCAGGTCAAGGCAGAGCAATTGGGGACTACGTACCGAGCCGCTGAGCTGCCAAAGCGGCATCGGTAATGTCGGCTGGACTCCACAGGCGCTCGGCGACGCCAGCAAGGCGAGGCCAGAGGCGGGTGTGCAGGGAAATGTCCGACACTTGTTCGGACCACATGCAAGCTTCACCGCCAAGCACCCGGCCGGGACTTTCACGGTCTTCAGGAAGCTCAACCTAGCGTCACAAGCACGTGGGTGCCAGCGTGAACCTTGCAGAAGATGCGGGAATGCAGATGCTCACGTCGCCGCCATGAAGGGCGAGCGGGGACGCACAAACCTCGTACATATCCACCCAGGTATCAACCCAGAACCAGTGAGTAGGACGGCCATCTACTGGTGTCTGGCGATCGAGATAAAAGCCCGTGGCCAGCAAAACGTCATGGCCTTGAGCCAAGGCCGCATCCATGAGTGTACGGTTGTTCCAAACCTAGGATCATGCCATGCATGCCAGCTCAAGCCAGGTGAGCCAGACAAAGGCTGGAAAAACCACTTGACACGCAACCGACGCGCGCACAGCCTGTCTCCTTTTCGATGGTATGTGAGCAGTTGTGGCAAGTATGCGTTGTCACCTCTATGATAGGTTTGCAATGGGCCAGTTCCGGAAGGCGTGGGCCGAGGTTGTCAAACATTTCATCCCACAGCATGACTTGCTGGATGGAGTCAGGCAGGAGGGCGTCCGTGCGATTGAGAAAGAAGATCAAGAGTCCTAATTCGTCGAGGCCATGCCTGGTCATAAAGTCTTGTATCAACTGCACATGGTCAAAGCGGGGTGTATTAGCCAGCGTCTAAATGTGGTCACGCTCAAGGAAGGAAGCACGGTGATTCTGCTCACCGGATCATGGGTCCAACAGCTGAATTGCACCTCGTCACCACCCAGATGAAGCGTGGTGTCTGGAAAGTGGGTGGCAGTCGCGTTGAGAACATCGCCAAGCACCTGATAGACGCGCTCCTCGGCCACGTTGAGAGGGATGACGTTGATGTTACCAATGTCTGTGCCGTTCACGACCGGGCACGTGGAAACCAGGCCCGGATCACTGGCACCCCAACTAGACGAGGACGAGCAGATAAGGCTCACGGAGTTTGGGAGTACACGGCAGAAAGCAGGGTGGGATCGGTCATACCTAGCAGCGTGGCCGGGAACGTCAATTTCTGGGACAACGCGAATGCCTCGGGTGCGAGCGTAGCGAACCACGTCGTCAACGTCCTCGCGGCGATAGACCCGACTGGCGCTCCAAGCACCGTGCTGGGAGAGGCCTTGCTGTTGCATCACCTGTGCGGCAAGGCAGTCAATGACTGAGAGGGCGGCGAATCAATCCAGGTGGTTGATGCAAACATCTAGCATGCCAATCATGGCCCGAGCATTGGCCATTGTCACAACCAAAGCAGGTCATCCCCAGAAGCTAGCATGCAGGCCCGGTACCTCCATGGGAAAGGAGTATGAATCAACAATGTGCCAATGTAGGAGGTTGAGCTTGACCATTGCCATGCCATCAAGAGTCGTCTTGATGGCGTCGAGACTCAGGTAATGGTTGGCGGTATCCAGGAGCAGCCCTATAGGATGGGATTACGACCATGATGCGTGACATGGGCATGGCAAGAACGGTGCGTGCGTGAGAGGGGAGAAAGGCCGAGAGGGGGAGAGATCGAGAGAGAGGAGGAGGAGAAGGGTGATGGCGGGATCTTCGTGGTTGCACAACCAACCACGCCAGGTGAAGCGTGGGGCATCACGAATAAAGAGCGGTCCATGAGAAATGGTGTGGGCATGTGTAGTTTGGTTGTAGTGAACCAGCTGGGTCAAAGTTTCCAAGCCATAGAGTGCACCCCATCTACCGTCAAGCGTTTCGGTGCAGTGCCCGAGAAGAGAAAACAGCGCGCCCCAAGCAGCAGCAGCAAGTGGTAGGTGAGCCACAGAGGGTGAGAAGGGCTGATGGTGAGAAAGGGAATGATAGGGCGCACTCGGTTTGGGCGGAAATGAGGATGGTCGGGGCGGTGATGTTGAGGGTATATGATTCGTCAACGTCGGCTGGTTTAGCAGCCGCCGTGGCCGTATCATTAACAAACACGATGATTTGATGAATCAAAGGCACGGGATCTGTGCATACGCGGATTGACATGCGCATGTGTGAGGCGCGGCGCCAGGCCTAGTTGGGGAGGGGGGGCAAGGTAGAGGTAAACCGCTTTGTCTGCAGGACGCACCCTGGTGATCTCGGTCACGGCGAAAAACGGTTGGGCCAGAGGCATTGAGGTGCGGCTCTTGCCGCCCCAGCTGAGTGTGTACGGCCTGGAGGAGTGGGCGATGCAATTTGCGCGTGAGCATGTCAGGTTGATGGGTGGGTGTGCACGTGCAAAGGTGAGATCAAGTTCTCGCAGCTGTGAAGCGGTGCAGCGAGCAAAAAGCGTGTTCTTCCATATGCTGATGTTATGCAAGGAGTGGCATGGCATTTAACCGACCTTGGAATAGATTGCGCGCTGGTACCGGTCCGCAGCTCCAGCGACGAGGCTCAGTTCCGCATCAGCGGTGATGGATAAGGCTGGGTGCAGCATCTAATCGGCAGGTGCAAAGGAGGGTAAGGCGGCTTTTACAGCACGCTTTCGCGTCGGCAAAGGTGACCAAGAGCAAAGGAGTTCTGCATACATAAGTGTGCTGATCCCCGAGCATGCAGCTCGTGGGGTGGGGCCAGATCGGCAGGCGCTGACAATCATCCTGTGCCCACACAACCGGGGCCAAACAACAGAGCCAAGCCAGCAAGGCCAGACAAGTCCTCTGGTCCCAAGCCGGCAGCAGGGCCTGGCCGGCTCCAGACGTCATGATCCCTTGTTTACGATCAAAGCGTGACCTACAGAGCCGTACCTCAGCAGAGCGATCAGGGCGATCAGGTCCTGAGATGCGTGCGATCAAACCCCAAAGCACCGTCGTACCTCGTCCAGTGCACCGCAACAGAAAAAACCCCAAAGGATCTCTTTTTTTGATTTTAATTTAAGGCGGATGAGATAGAATGACATGTGTTACACTTTGGATGAGGATGACAAATTGGTTATGGTCACTGCTTTCATTGGTAAATTTGTCAGCGATAATTGTTTTATCTGACGTCTGTGGTACTGGGGGGTTTTTTTTGTTTTTTTTTTGGGTTGATGGCGTCGAGCGGTCTGCTGATTTTCCTTCGTGCGATTGATCAGTTCACGACCAGGCCCTTTTTTTTTTTTTTTTTTTTCTCTTGGGCAATTTGGGCCAGCTTGGGCAAGCCGTCTGAACACGTTATCACGACATAACATTATGGATCCGATGCCAGGTTCCTTCCGCGCATTACAGTGGCATCCACACACGTGTCAGCAGTGTGTTGGCCTAACATGTTTGGGGAAGCGCAAATAATGTGTTTTTCCGTTTATTTACCCGAGTGCGGGTGAATAAACGTGGCCGAGTTAAAGGAGGATGCATACGACTCAGCATATTTATCGGCTCGTGCAGGGGGAAAAACACAACTTTTTGTATTTTTCCGTTTATTGTGGGCACGCTGTGCAAATAAACGAGATGGCGCATTTATTCACCTCTCAAAGGCTTTGTTTTCGAGTGATTACGTGTCTGAAAATGTCGCTGACATGCAAATCTGACGTGTTTTGTCCCCAGTTGAGCCAATCACCGCGAACGTTCCGTTTCACACCCGCAAGCAGCTATCAAAGCTTTATTAAGCCAAATTAGCCACACCCACCTCCTAAAGCCCATGCCTTTCGCCATTCTCTATGGGTCCTATTTGTCGACAAAGTCACACACACCTTTCTCTGGACGCTTCTCTGAGTTGCCCTTTATCTTCGTCTGACGACGGACCTCCCAGCGCTCCACCCTCTGAACGGTGAAGGGGCGGGCGGATAACACCCACACACACACACATCCTGTAGTCCGCGTGATCAACAAGAATGACAAAAAGCAGGTTAAAGGGAAGCGTCAAGCACATAACATGATCGCCCACACACACACACCTTCTTGCTCTCTCTACTCTCTCTCTTGCGCGCCCTCTCTCTGTGTGTGTGTGTGTGTGAGGCCTTCGGGGTTCATTTTACGCTCTCTCGCTCCCGCTGATCGTGGTGTGCGTACGGTCGGCGTCTCCTTGCCCTGCCTGCCTGGTTCAACTTGTCGTCCGCCGGCCAGCTGTCCGTCTTTGTGGTGTCCTGCATTTGGCCCCCCGTGGTCTGGGCCACTTGAACACGTCGGCTCGGCTGTTCAACACGAGACCTTTTGCTCGGTTGGCAGGCATCATCACGATGCTGGCTGTTGAATCATAGAGCCTTGCCCCCCCCGGTTTTTTTTTTGTCCCCGCCTCGCATGATTCAGGATGGCTGCGCGAGCCAACCTCTTTGTGACCACTTCGGGTGACACGGGTGCCAGCAGACACTCGGCCTCAGGGTGGCGCTTCAGTCGTGCCAGCTCCGAACCTCTCGGCAGTTCAGTCTCTGCTGCGGGATCAACCTTTCTGGCCTCCCCGACCCACCTTCATCGTCACCCCCATCACGCAGCCAGCCCCGTGACAGCCCGCAAGCTGGTTCAAGCCCGTCACCCTCCCACCCCAGCCTTCTCCTCCTCTTCCCCCTCAGTCTCAGGCGTCGTTCCCGCGCACGCAGCCTCCGTCCCGTCGTCCACCATCAGCACCGCGAGCTCCCCCGTGTCTACTGCTGGGTCGCCGCAAAGTCAACGCGGCACGGGTGGAAATGCCTGTGCCGGCAAGAGCCGGTCCAGTTGTGTGCTCCTCGCTGCCGCCTCGGCCGTGCTCGGCTCGGCGACCTCGATCAAATGCCCCAGTAATCATGGCGCATCTGATCGGCTCCCTGCCTCTCGCTCCCACGGAGCCACCCCAACGAGCTGGCTTATGACCCCCTGTGAGCTCGTGCGCCAACGCACCGGGCGCACTACCCCCTTCCGCCGCATCACCTGCTGCCTGAGTCTTTTACTTGTCCTGGTACTGCTCTTGCAAATTGGCTTCGTCATGCTCGGTACCCCCTCCACTTGCTCGGCGGCGGGAGCGGATCGCCTCCTCAGCGCCACCGCCCGCCGGCCCCCCATTGCCGAGTATTACGTTCATGGCCGTGGGCGTGGACACGCATCGCGGGGCAAAACCATGGTCCAGGCTCTTGAGCAGTATGGCTACCACGTATGCGTCTTTGTTGACCCGGACGTTGCGGCCATGGTTCAATCCGTTGGGTCGGAGCGCGTTGCCGTGACCAGCATGCCCGTAGGCGCATCCCTACCCAGTGTCTGGCGTAGTTTCACCACCTTGCTGTCGCGGTTCTTCATGGATGCCGACTGCAGCATCTGCCAACGCCGCGAGTATTCACCAGACGTCATTGTGACTGACGGCGACTTTCCGGGGGCTTGGCGTGCTGTGCGCGCCGACATTCCTGCCGTGGCCGTGGGGCATGGCTATGTCTTCAGCTCCACCAATCGGCCCGCGTTTGCCAGCAAGGAGCCTTGGCGCGCCCAGCGCCGCCTCAACAAACGCACCACCGATCTGGCCGACTGCACCGTCGGCGTCTCCTACTACCCCCTCAGTCCCACCAACAATCACACCATCATTGCCAAGCCGCGCCTCCGTGATCAGTTTCTCCGCCTTGAGCGTCGTGTGCCTGCCCGGCCTCGCATTGTGACCTACTTTCGTGATGAAGGTGTCGGTGCCGAGGTCCTTGATGTCCTGGCTGCCACGGGCTACGAGATTCTGGCCTTTGGCACTGGAAGTGCTGTGACGACCACCCGTTCGGGTGTGCGCGTTTTACCCTTTGATGAAACACTCTTTTTAAACAGCTTGGCCGAGGCCAGCGCGGTTGTGGGCACCAGTGGCGACAACCTCATCGCTGAAAGTATGACGCTCGGCATTCCCATGCTTGGTCTTTACCGCGCCGGTGATGATGAGCAACAGCTAAACGCCGAAATGTTGGAGCATGCCGGCTTTGGACTCAAATCTTCTTTTGAAGATCTCAACGCCTCGCTCATTCAGCACTTTCTGGACAACCTTGACCTCTTCACGGGTTCGGCCCCTACCACCAACTGGCAGGCGCCTGATGCGGTCGCCGCCACGTTTGAGTGTATCAAGAAGGTGTCTCACCGCGCTCGCGAGTGGCACCGTCACCTCGATGGGCTGGATGAAGACATGGTGGGCCCCGTGGCCGAGGCACGTCGTCGGTTGCTGCTTGAGCCACCGCGCGCGGTTACGGCCAGCCCGCCCCCTGTTGTCGCTGACGCAGCCGCCGCTGCCCTCCAAGCTGTTTCGAATCAACAGGCCGAGCGCGCTGCAGATGCTGCCGAGGCCGATGTTTCCTTTGAGTTTTTTGGCGTTTGATTGCCTGTTCTTTTCCATTTTAGTTTTACCTCACATGCATGCCCCCCCCCCCCTCTTTTTTTACCTTTGTCTTCTTAGTTTTGATTTGATATGACACGACCCTGTGAATGATTTATCATCAGGCCATTCTGTGTGCTTGTGCTCAGATGGCCTTTCCCGTCAGTTGTCTCTGCGAGATGTTTGATTTTTTCGAGTTTTGATTTGTGAATGTCGTTTGTGGATTTATTTCTGTTCCAACCTGGTTGCCTCGAATTTTTGGAAGAAAGACAGGTTTGTGGCTGAGCCACCATTCCATTGCCCTTGTTAATCGCGGTCGTACCGTGGAACAAATTGACAAGTCGATGAGTACATCAGAGCAGCACTGTAAAATGGTTTTCATGCCTTGACAATTCGGTCAGGGCAAAATTTTCAATCACGATTCGTGCATTTTTCATTCGATTGGGTGGGGGTCAAGTGATCTCTCCATGCCTGTGTTTTATGAGCTCAGTTTGCCAACGCGGGTTGCACGCAGAGCGTCGGCCAATCCCTGCAGGACGAGTGCGCTCAGCGCGCTAGTCACGGTGGGTACCGTAAGGCTTCGGATGGCGCAAAAGATGCCAGGCGTAGTGGATGGGTACCAGCAAATAAGGGGAGTAGAGTGCCACCAAAGCCAGCCGCTGGGTTGTGGAAAGGTCTGTCGATGGCACGCATTGCCACAGCATCCGGGTCAATGAGAAGGTACGGCAGTGGTGACCTGGCGCAAGGATCGCAAAGGTTTGCAAAGAGGGAGGGCATGACATACTCGCTGCCGGGAAGCCGAACAAAAATTCACCCAGGATAGGGACGAGAGTCGTGGCCACGTGGGCACCGTACAGCAATCCGGGCAGCCGGATCGAGTTGTCTCCTAAGTTGATGTGGTACCAGACAATTGAGTTCAGCGCCTGGTGCGCGCCTGGGCAAGCCCATAGATTCGGGTTGAGGCAAACCAGAGCACACACCGTTCTTGATGGCACGGCAGGCCCAGAAGAAGAAGGGCAGCTGAATCAGCAATTCGCAGGTCACCATGGACTTGAACCAGACGGGCGGGTTCGCCATCAGCGGGTCCTGGAAGGTCTCAACGTAAAACCGTTGCAACGAGGAAATCTAGCCCGGCAAGGTCAGGCAGGAACAGGGTCGAGTCACGGGCATATGCCGGGAATCCAGGCTTGGTCCACAAGGAAGGAGGCGGGAGGGAAACACACACATACCGAGCCAGGCACCAAGGATGGAGGCAGAATGGCCTGCGAATCCATCAACAGCGTGATGGGGATGTGCGAGGCGAAAAACCAGTAGTGGACCTGGTCCGTCCAAGACAGAGCGCGCGCCATCTTTCCGCTGAAAATCACACGAAAAAAAAAACCAAAAAAACCACACAATTTAAAAAACATCCTCCCAACCTTTAAAAACAATAAACTCTCCTCTTCAAGTGCATAAACTAAAATCCACACTCTAACTTTAAAAATGATGCTTAAAATCAAATAGTTTATTTTAAAGGATATTGTCCTCAACAACGGCGGAGCACAACAAGAAGAAGAAAAAAAAAAAAACGCTTCTGGTGCTCTTTCTCACGGAGGAGACGGAGCCCCCGGGACCGTGGCCGTGCAGGTCGGCAATGCGCGGTCTCCCAGCATCTTTGTTATGTCTCTCCTTCTCGCTTGCTCTCGTGTTGGTAGAAGGAGTGCTGGGAGTGCAGGTCATGATTGAGAGACGTGGGCTGATCGCTGGCTGGTGGGTGTGCTGATAGCGTGCGGAAGTGGTGTCTGAAACCCCCACAACCCGGTGACAACTTTTTCCAATCACGCGCCGGTCGGCGTGGCGCGCCTCGCCGATCACAGCGCCAGGTAAGCAGATGGGCACGGAGCGGATCGGCCCTGGGGCCTTGCATACCTCTGCGCCACCTCTGCCCTTATCCGCAGCCCTGACATGAGATTCAACTCTGGATGCCTTTTGGTCTCGTCGCCTGACAGCGCTGTCTGCGGACACCAGCGCCATGAAGGTCAGCGAGGTAGCCCAGCGACTCCATGAAGATGAGCGCTTCGTATCCATCTTCAACGCCTTTCTAGCCCTCCCGGTACGCATCCAACCACGCTCGCGCCCCTATCCGGGGCTCCTTACAAGCAGTTGCGGTCTCTTCTCAAAGGCTGGACCCACGGTAGATTTTCAATGTACGCCTACGGTATAGCAAAACCCTAGATACAATGGTCGATGAATCCGATTTCTCTGACGCCCAGGTCTGTGTGAAATGACCTTTACATGCACGCGGGCCTACCACCTCTCTGTGACATGGCACCGAAAAGCTGCCACCAACGTCACCCTCCTTGATTTCCTAGTCTTGCCCTCGCGTGTGCCTTTGTTCTCCCTATCCAGGTCACACATTTACGCCGCATTTGTCAAGCAAACAAGCAGTGGCGGGCGACAAAACCACTCGCCCAGCAGGTTGGTCGGAAACAGTCCCACCTTCGTTGTCCACCCTTTCTAGCTAGGTCCAAGCTCACTGCATTTATTTATTTTTTGAAACATGCAGCCCGTCTTTGGCTGGGTCGTTCAACAGCTGGAACCAGCCTATCAGCGAAGCCCCCTGCGTGCCCAGCTCGATTTGTTGGAAGCATTGCGAGGCGTCACCTCTCCAGGCCTTGAACGGTAAAGTCGTCCATTCCAACAGGCCTTCGTGTTGCGTGCCAATTCGCCATTCTCTCTAACGACCAACTTATGGTTCCACTACCACACCGACCGCTCAAATGCCTCCATCGCCACCAACAACAACACAACAACAACAACAACAACAACAACAACAACAACAACAACAACACAATAATACGCGGTTGGATGGGGGAATAAACAAAAAACAAAACTAAAAACGACAACCCCTAACTGGATTTCTTCAGCGTGGGCCTGGACACCGCCTCGGACCTCGAAAGCCACGGCGATTTACAAGCGTTCATTGCGTTTCTGCAGCACCGCTCTCCACATGGCTTTGCCGCCGTGCATGCATTCTTGCTGGCGGCCCACATTCGGTTCGTCTGCTTGTCGCTTGCACAAGTGCCCGTGTTTCTCAAGATGCTTTCATGCTCAATCAAGCATGTGCACCTTTGTCGGGGTTGCTTAGCCATTTGCTCGAGCAGCGCCTCTGGACCGGCTCCACAGACTGGCTTTTACAGCTTCGCAAGTGTTGTCTGGCAGCATTTCGTTTTCAAGGTTTGTGCCAAGGGCACGAGGACGCATACTTGCTTTTGCTCGCCAAACAAACCATCTTTTCGACTCTTTTGTGGGGTACCTCTGACCCGTTTCCCTTTGGTTGGTCCGGAATTTCAAGGGCGAGCAATGAGTGAGACGTCGGCTGATGAACAAGAGCTGCTTCAGGTCCTCCAGCTTTTGGTGGGCCAACAAAGCGTGCCTGGTGCGATATCGAGCGCTTACTGTACAACCTTTTGCTATCAGCTCCCTCTTGACAAGACTCCATACATCATATTGTCACGTGCACTTTTCGGTAACATCGTGTTTTAGAGGGCCAATTGCGTGACATGCTGGATGCCGCGGCCCCCTTACTGCTGCTCAACATCAAGACATACTGGCTACCCCACTATATTATTGATCGGTTTGTGGCGAGCCTTGCTGCTGGACACTTTGTCATTTCCAACTTGACAAGCATAACGTTTTATCCCTCTCATCCCCCTCATCCCCCTCCTCCTCCACCTGAATGGGAATGCCGTCACTGGCCCCATTGTGTGCGCTCTGGCCAGATCCTGTCAGGAACGCACCTCGCAAGCAGATGACGAGGATTTTCTTTTTGACGAGGAACCTCGCTTTGCGAGCCCCACGGCGCGGAGTACGCGCAAGGCGTCTGCGGCCACGATCGTGCGGCGACGTGCCCGTACGGCGAGCGTGCGGGATCGTCTGCGTTCAGCCCGAGGCGCCCGTGGTCCCATGGGCTATAACGACACGCAACAGGCTTTCTTACCCACCATGAGTCACAGCGATATCTTGTCGGAGCATATCAACGATGCCCTTCACCGCATGACATTGCAAGAGGACCAACCAACCTCATTTTCCTGGCTCCCTCCTGTTGCCCACGTCAAACCCACTCATCCCAACGGCCGCCATCATGTTGGAGCACATCAAGCCAGTCATGGCACGTCCCATCTCAAACTACCCTCGGCGCACGAGCGACGACACAAGCAACCAACAAGCAAATCAGCCTCTCACAGCCGGCAACACCGGGCCAAGAGCAAGCATGCACCAGCTCGTCGGGACGGCCAACCGTCAGCTCGAAAGCAACCCAGCTCACAAGCTACACGGGCGGCGCCGTCCAACACAGCGACCGTTCCAGCGCAGTCGTCTGAAGGAGCCAGCCGCACCTTCCTGGAGCGCCTTGATTTGAAAGAGTCCAGTCCCGAAATGGACCAGCTGCTTCGTCGTCGTAATATTTATCGCGCAGTCATTGCCGATGAAGCTGCCGGGGGCCCTTGGGCGGCATGGACCGTCTCGGCTAGTGCGCTGGGAACACAGCCGGAACGAGAGCGGTTCTCCGCGATGCTTGAGGCTTGTCGGCGCTGCAATGCAGCCCTTGTCCTCTATCCGCGCTGCGCACATGAAATCTGGACCCTTGTGGAGCACGGCTTTCGCAATGTAAGTAGTTGCTGAGTGTGCTGCTAAATTTGTGACCAGTAACGAGCCAAATTTACCGCGTGCAGGCAGGCCTGGCCATGTGCTCATGATGCTATGATCGGACTTTTGCCATGATAATCTCCAGCGGGTGCCTCTGCTTGAGCTTTGCGTGTCCCCCACCTTCCAAGCACTGGTTGCTGAGCACAACGCCTTGGATCAGGCCTTGGCCGCGGCAGAAACCAGGATAGCTCGGCGTGAGCTGGAGGATCTCTTGATCCTCACGCTTGATGCGCTTGATCCCTGCCTCGCCTTGTACCACGCTGAAATGCATCAAGCCAAGGCCAAGCACTTCGCGCTAGACGCCGAGGCACTCGCCCGTCAACATGCGATGCGTCGTGCCGTTGGCGGCACGGACCAAGTATGTCGCTCGGCACGCACGCCGTTGCCGTGTAATCGCAGCTATGAGCTTCTCGTCAATCTGACTGTCGCTGTGCACGTCACTTGTCTCCACATTAGGCAGCAGCCGCTCTTGAGGAGATGATTCAGGCCCAGGTCACGGCGAAGATTGCCGACGACCTTGTGACTGAGATTGTTCAACAGTAAGCCATTTGAGTTCTTGACGCCGTTTCATGCTCTGCGTTGCGTCCCCTCCCCTTGATGGATGTAACACATGGTGCTGGTGACAGTCGCCTTCCTCATCTTCTCACACGTGTTCTGGGTGCATCTCGGTTTACTCTGGTCACCAGGAGCATGCCAGAAATATCGCAAGAGGTCACGGATGGCTACTGGGCTGGTCTGTATGAGACCGGGCCGTCCGTGTTTCGATTGCAGCAAACTGCCAATCTTTTCCTCAACGGTCGCGAGCACATGGTCCCGCAGTTTCTGGACTTTTTGCGTACCAACGTATGTTGGCCATGCAAAAAAATGCTGGTGCCGCATGTGTCGATCAAGGCGGGATTCTGTCGCTCCTACTGGGCACTCACTGCGTTTCGTGTCCCCCCATGTCAACGCAGAATGCAATGGATGATTTGCTAGTTTGGACGCAAGTGGAGGACTTTCTACTGATGGACGAGGAATCGCCGCTCATTCGAAACGTTGTGGCTGCGAGAGCCAACCCCGAGGCGCTGATCCAAAAGGTTTGCTGTTTTACCCTTATTCAGCTCTCAGCCTTGATTGGAATACCACCGTGAGCCATATTGAATCTCTCACATCAAAGCTCATGAGAAATCACGCTGTCTTCTCCGGGGGGGTCACATGCAGCATCGCGGGCGCTTGGCTCGGGGACTTTTTCGGATGTACCATGACGCAGGTCTGGTCGGCGGCTCCACGGAGGATGCTACACCCACGTCGCGGCCATCCACCCCGGAATTGGAGGAGGCTCAGGTTGGTAGCTCGAGCCAACAAGCTTATTGGATCGAGTAGACGTGAGACGGGCTTGGTTTTTGTGCGCCAACGCTTTTCAAGAAGCTCAGAGACGCTCGTTACTGATGGCCCTTGCAGGTTGCAGCGGAGGTGCGGTTGGCGGATACGCATTTGCCCATGTTCAATCAGTACATGACCAAAATGGCCAAGCGCCAATCCGAAGCACGCATCAAGGGCTTGGCTAACAAGGACGTCCGTTTCGAGCAGCTCGTCGCCATGGCTGCCTCTTTCGCCGATGACCAGCGTATGTGACATTGCACGCCTGCTCAAGATCTTAGCTACATGGGGTTTCATTTTGAGGTATTGCAAATCCTCGTAGGCTTGAGTGAGTTTGTACAGTTGGTTCTGGGATTGGACGGAGACGAGCAGCGGCTCAACTACATGGACTGGCTCCGTGAGCGTGGTAGGTTATGCTTGGTATTATGGGTGGGAATAGTGCCAGAGCGGGGCTTGAGTGGTGGCGTCTGTGCGCTGCTTTGACAATCGGACCATTGGGCTGGTGGAGTAGACATTCAAGGAGTGATGGAGCTGGAGTTTTGGCTCGAGGTGCAGCGCTACAAGCTCATGTGCCATCGTCAAGCCAACATGGCGCTACTGCGTCAAAAGGCGCAAGCCATTGTCGATTGCTTTCTCAAGTCGAGTGCTTCGCCATCCCTGCTGACGCGCTTGCCTCCAGAAATCATGGTCGCCATCTCCAACCGCTCGCAGCGCATTCAGGTCAGTTGCGAGGGTGTGCACTTTCTGCAACCCACTTTCCTTCTTTTTATTTTGTTTTGTTTTGTTTTTATTTTATTTTTATTCTTATAACGGGGTGGGGCTTGCTTATGGTATCCACCACTTGGTCCCGGCGATGGCTTAGACACCGCAAGCTTTCTTGTTTTACAAGGCAGAGCGGCGGCTTTTGCCATCACTGCTAGCCACATACGAGACCTATCGGGCACGATTGGCCATGCAACAAAACTCCAACGCAGCGCGGGCGGGGCGCGTGGTTTTTGCCGAGACCGACACGCTGCGTACACTGACGGCGGGTGGGCGTCGTTTCCTCGAGTCAAGGTGAGTGTCAAGTCCCAAATCGGGCTACTGCCTCGTAGAAGTTGTAAGGTCGACGATTTGCGTGCTGATTCGCGCCGGCGGACGCTTTGGTCGCCGTTTGCATTGACGAAACTAGAGCGGCCTCAAGTGCGCACAGCACCGGCAGCACCGGACGACGGAGCGGAATTCCCAGTGCGACGCTGCGACTTCCCTTGCGGGGCAAAATGTTTGGGCCCACCTATTCTGGCCTATCCTCGGGCACGACGACAGCTCGGCAACGCAAGCCCGTGGTGGCTCAGATTAAGTTTTCCCTTGATACAGGATTGCAGTCCTTTGAGGGGGATCATTGAATCGGAGATCCTGAGCTCGTCGTTGTACATATTGTTTGTCACTCCAAAGCTCAGAAGCCGCGCCTAGATGATTCTGCTCTTGTGTTTTGGGCTTATTAGTTGATATTAGGCGAAACATTCTCCAAAGGAGCCGAATATGTGTGTGTGTGGAAGGGGGGTGGCGTGCGTGATTTGTATAGTTCGTGTAATGTGTTATTACCACAAGCAGCGCCCAAGCACTGGAAGTGCTCAAAAATGAGAAAGCCAAAGCATAGGATTGAGAGGTGTAACGACATCTCCAGCGCTTAGCGGTCATGGGGATGAGGAGGGAATCCCAACATTTGCTCTCGAAAAGCGTGGTGGGATTGGGGTGTCCAGCACCGTAATTTGATCAACCAGTTTAGGTGAATTACATGTAATGTCAGTCTGAAAGTTTAGATGTCAAGATCGCGCGCCTAAGGTGTTCGATTACACGGAATTCACCCCCCTTCCTAAACTTCCTAAAGTTTCTCTCTCTCTGTCGCTGACCAACTGCGTTGTGGGAGAATCGTGGGGGAATGACGGTATGCTACATACCTATAGCTTGTTGGACTTTGCCCATGCATTGTGTCTCTCTTTGATAAACGTCTCTCTGTCTCTCTGTCTCTCTCTCTCTGTCTCTCTCTCTGTCTCTCTCTCTCTCTCTCTCTGTCTCTCTCTCTGTCTCTCTCTCTCTCTCTCTCTCTCTCTCTCTCTCTCTCTCTCTCTCTCTCTCTCTCTCTCTCTCTCTCTCTCTCTCTCTCTCTCTCTCTCTCTGTCGGCTGTGACACTTCACTGAGTGGTCGTCCCAACCAGTTTTTGACGAGTGTTGGTGGTCTTGGCGGTCGCGACGGTCGCGACGGCAGCGGGGTTGAGTTGGATGAAGAAGAGCACCTGACGGGTACGTGAGGGGTTGTTTTCACGACATTTGAGCTGGCTTGGCCGAGTTGGTTTTCATCGGCTCGCGCGACTGCCCCCTTTTTGAATTTTAGGTCAGACTCATGCACTTGTCTTGTCCCGCTCCCCCCCTGGCAGTGACCCCTTTCCTTGCCTTCACACCTTTCGAGCTCGCGTCGCTCCGTCCTCCTGCCATTGGTGTGCATGCTTGCCTATGCACACAAGGTTGCCGGGTGTACGCTTCTCCCTGAGCCCTTGCCTTCCGCGAGAATCCCGACCCTCGGCATCTTCGACGTTTAAAACTCCTGCGTTCAGTCTGTTGTGCAGCGGTGGAGGTCACTTTATCGTCAGCGGTGGCACCCCCAAATCATCCTTGATTCCCGCCGCAGGGGCGCTTGAAGCGTGGTTTTAATTCAGGTAAACTGGGGCACTTGTCAATTGGGCTCTCAGCTACCCAAATATGCATCTTGAACACATCAAGAGTCAAGCTCTGCCTCTGGTCGTTGCTGGCTTGATCCTCAGTTTGGCACCGTCAAAGGTCACCGCTTTCATGACAAACTTCGAGTTCATTCACCCACCTGAACCTCTTCCATCCGCCATGCCCCGGCCTTCTTGCAGCCAGGCTTAGGATACCGACATCATGGCGGTTCCGACCGAAACACGCAAAAAGATGCTTCAGACAATGTGCGTGTGCTTCAACTTGCTCCAGGCCTTCCACGGCAGACGATGATCTTGGTCTTGCTCAATTTTTCTTTTTCCTTTTGACCCGTCCAAACGCCCCTTTTGCTTTCCCTCTCGTTGTCCACTGACGCAAACTGTGTGGGCGCAGAAAACAACGTCTCGAGCAGTCACCCCATTTTCAGATCTTTCAGGACCAGGTGCTTCCGCACATCCCCATGCTCGAGCAGACCGCTTTTACGCATAACTCGACCAACTTTGTAAGCCACATGGACCTCGGCTTATCTGAAACCTCCTTTGAATGCTTGCGCATGGTCTTGCTCAAAGGTCGCTAATTTATTGCCCCGCGTCGCCCGTCTCTTCCTCAAATACAGGAAGCATACCAGCAAGAAGTGTCGATGAGAGTGAACAATCTGCTGCGTAAGTACATTCGACACTCGTTTGTATCCATTGATGCTGAGAAACGACCTTCTCATCCCATCCGTTGCTCGGTTGCTTGGCTTGCGCCTTGATAGAGAACATGAAGCAAAAGGTAGTTTGCGCTTCCAACCTGAGTGGCTCTGATCCCTTGACTTGTGGCGCATAACCTTGCTTTGTATTGTGTGGCATAACCTGATAGTACGAAAAGCACCAAATGAATACCAACTCAACCATACGTAAGTCGCGAAGCCTCTTGGCAAGCTTTGATTGCACTCCCATCGTGCCGCCCTTTGAGTTTGTTGTTCATAACAAGAGAATGTCTTCACAAACCCTAGCCACCAACCCTGGACCTGCCGGAGTTCCGGGCGCCGGAGCTTCAACTGGTGTGCCGCAATGGCAACTGTCCGGAGGAGCATATCCGATTGGAAGTCAAGGACCAGTCACCTCGCTACCAACTCAGACGAGCCATGGTGCCAACGGGTCGACCATGGTGAACCCTTCGCAGATCCAGTCGCATGTTGGGTCTGCGCAAAACCTAACATCGCAACATCTTTTGATGCGCCAGAGGCAGCAGCAGCAGCAACAACAACAACAACAGCAGCAGCAGCAGCAGGTCTTAGCCGCTCGAAATGGTGTAGCACAACAGATGCCACAACAGTATTATGCCACATCAAGTGCACAGACTCAGGGCCAGCCAGTACCACGCCAGCCCGGCATGCATTTGCCCACGCAGCAAGGAGCGGCACCCGCCCGCGTCTCACATGCCCCCGTGCAGCCCATTGTGCCTCAACAACAATATTCATCCCCTGCAACAAGCCTCCCTGGTGTTTCGGCGTCATATCCATCGGCACCTTCCCAGGTCGGAGTCACGCCAGTGGTGCCTAGCGGCCAATCGACCAACGTGAGCTTTGTGCCATCAGTGACCCCTTCCGTAAGCAACATTCGGCTGCATTTGAGGCGTGACATCTTTGAATTCGATCCGTTGGCGTCCCAGAGCGCTTTCTCACCTGGTTTGGTTGCTCTCGTGCTCGACGTTTTTTCAAGAGTGCGCTTGTCACTCGAGCTGAGGTAATTGCAATCGCAAGGCTTAATGCGGTTTCTGTGTGTAATTTTGTGTTTTGATTCGTCTTTCCAAGGGGATGCAGGTTGACCAGAAATGCCCCTTCGACCACGGAGTGCAAATGGTCTCACCACTTTGAAATATTCGTTCTCACAGGCTGAGGCCGTTTTGAAGAAGTATCAACACATTTTCGCCCGTCTTAAGGATCACGCAAAGATGAAGCATATGCAACAACTGCTGGTCTCGGCACTGCAGCCTAGGTACGTCTCCTTGTTGCAAGAAAGACACGCATTGTGTCATTCATGTGGTGGATGTTGTCCTCGTTGTTGTACTTGGATGGTGATCCATCAACGTCGATACGTGTTTCTCATTTTTGTGCTGTGCCTTCCTTTAGCACAAACCGTCTTACTAAACCAGTTCTTCTTTCACTCTGTGGGCAACTCGACTCCGTATCTGCGCGATTGCATCACATAGATATTACTCAACAACAAAAACAAGCCCAGCAGCAGGCCCAGCAGCAGGCCCAGCAGCAGGCCCAACAGCAGGCCCAGCAGCAGGCACAACAGCAGGCACAACAGCAGGCACAACAGCGACAGCTTCAATTGCAGGAGCAACAAGCGCAGCGCCATCGACAACTTCAGCTGCAGGAACAACAACAACAACAATTGAAAATGCAACGTTTGCAAGAAGAAGAAAAGGCAGCCAAGTTGCGTGCCCAACAACAACAACAGCAGCAGCAGCAACAAGAGCAGCTACGGCGGCAACAAGCCGCCCAAGCTCAACAACAAGCTCACATGATGCAGCAGCAACAACAACAACAACAGCAGCAGCAACAGCAGCATATTCCACAGCAATATCAACAAATGCCTGCATCAGTTACCCCTCCCACCATGCCTGCTGTTGTGGGTCAACCACAGCATGGCCAAGTACGCAAAGCTCCCCCTCCCCTTTTCTTTCCCTTCCATTGTCTCGACCAGTGTGTGCTTGGCCTTCCGCAGCCCTCTCCCCCCACTGAATACATGGGCGTGTCTCCCCCCTCCCTCTCTTTTTCCTTACTTTGCTTTGCATTCTTCCAGGCACAGGGGCCCGTGCCAACCGCTACTTCTGTAACTCCAGGGGCAAGTCAGGCCAATACCCAGGCTGCTTTCAATCTTGCTCCCATGATCGAGTCCAGTGGTACGTGTGCGAGCAACGCAGCTAGCAGCTTGCCATGACAAGCATGTGTGCAGGCATGGTCCACGTTCTCATAAGTGACACGTTCTTCGGGTGTTATGCTTCTGCTTACTTGCATGCAGAACCACATAACAAGCGAGCAAAGCTGTTGACCAACAAGCCCGAGGTCAGGCCCCTGATGCCGTCTTAAGGATCCAGCCATTACCGGCGTCAAATGTGCTCAGCTGACATCCAACACAATGCATGCCGGAATTTTTGCTTGTTTCGACCGCAATGTCCATAGCTCTTGATACCCTCTGGGCCTGGCACCCCGTCGACGTCCCTGTCCAACCCACCCTCCGTGCCCCCGGGCCACACCATGGATTTGGCTGGGGAAATGGTAACTGGAGACCCTTTTGATTACGATGACCTCCCTGTTCTTGAGCTGGATTTAGCCATCGCTGATCAAGCGTTGGCGCAAACTTCAAGTCAGGTCTGTTTGCTGCCCCACTCAGCACAACACAGCACATTAGTCGTTGGGAAAGAAGAGCTTGGGTGGTGACGATATCTGTGGCTGCTTGCTGGCGTGTTCGTTTCTGGCAAGCCTGTGTGACCTTGATTTTGACCGTTCCACGCTGTGCTTTTGGGCATCTAACCTCAACAACTGCTGCCATTGTGCTAGTCAAATGCCGTCCTGCCCACGTTTGTTGATCTTCAAAAGAAGTTGATGGAGCTGACGTAAGATCACACCATGACGCTTGCGTGCCCGGCTCTTGTCTATTGATTGTTTACGCCTGGCTCACTCATCGGTACATGGCATAGGGGCTGGAAGCAGCATCAGACAGATCCGGGCAATGGCATGCAGTTGTGGACAAGGGGTACGTGCCTGAGTTTTAGTTTTGCCTAGCTTTAGCCGTGCGCCTTCTGTTTGTTGGGTGTCTGACGCTGGTATCGCCCGGCGTAGAGGGACACCCGGTGCCGTTGGTGGTTGATAATCACGACCAGCTTGTTGATCAACCCACGTATCTGCAAGTTCTGCAAGGTATGACTTGCTGAGGCATCCCGTGCACGTTGTTTGTGCGCTGTGGCTTCCGGCTCGCCCGTGACTTCCGGCTCGTCTGTGACATGCTTGTGGGTACGCTCGGTAGCTGTCCAAATTCCCGTAGATGCTGAGCTTTTGAGCCGGCTTTTGGATGGCATTCGAGCGTTCAAGCCACATTCGTTACGAAATACATCCCACCTCTGGGTAAGTCTTGTTTCTCTCTCTCTCTCTCTCTCTCTCTCTCTCTCTCTCTCTCTCTCTCTCTCTCTCTTTATCTCTCTTTTGGCGCTTACATCAAAGCTAAAATTCGTCGTTGGCGGGAACTTCAGGATGCCCTCTACGCCCACTTGTCCAGCTAGCCCCCAATGGCCGCCAACTTGGGAGTAATGCAAATCTGATGGGAGTGGATGTTGATAGAAAGGGGCAAAGGACAAGCGCGTGTAAATCATTGGGGCATTGCCGCCGAGCTTGAGGTTTCCATAGGAAGACAACCGAATTGCAACGCCACCAACTACAGGCCCAGAAGTTGTTGTCGGGATCCAAAAGTCGCAAAAGGCAGGAGGGTCAAACAAAAACCATTTGTGCAAGTCCTCAGGGTTTGCAGGCCAGAGTTCCCCATCCCCTCATGCCGCGCGTGCATGGGGATATTTAAAGGGAGACTTTGAGGGAGAATGTCATCTAATCTTACCTCTCTCTCTGTTCTCTCTCTCTCTCTCTCTCTGCTCTCACGCATTTTATTTCGTTGGGGGCTGCGCGCTCCCATTGACGCGTCGCGTGTACATCCTGCGTCGCGCTTTCTGGCTGGTGGCTTGTGACACCGACGACGGTCGCATAGTCGTCCGTGGACGCGCCCCGTTCGATCCGGTCAGGCAGAGCGAGGTATTGAGTTTGGCGGGGTCTTGGTAGAAACTGTTGTTCGTGTCGACTCGGAGCTGTCACGCACTTTGCTTGGTGCGTTGTTGGTACGGGGCCAGCAGCTCCTGGCACCTGGTTTGCGATTCAGTTCCTGAAGGGCGTGGCTTGCCTGGTGACCGTCCTGGTCTTGTTCATTTTGCGAAAGCAGTGCCATGGAGGACCGGCGTTCGCGCCATCGCGCTACCGAAAAGGAGCGGCGCCAGCGTATGAACGAGACACTTAATCGTCTGCGGCGCTTGCTCAAGGTGGGCCCACGCACGGAGCACGCCATTGTCCTCGAGCTGGCTTGGCAACGTCTCTCCGACCAAAACAGCAAGCCCAGCCCTGCTGCTCTCCACAAAGCCGATCAAGGTGGCGATGAGAATGAGAACCAGAACCTAGATGAAGCGAGTGCTTCGCCCGCCTTCACCACAAACGGTCTCAAATCAGCCAATGTTCAGCCCGTTGGAGCCGGTCCGCCCGGCCGTGCTTGTCTTGCCTGCGGTCAGCCCCCTTGCTTGCAGCGCGAAGCTGCTGCCCTCCGTGCTCGCAACGCATTCCTCGAGGCCCAAGCTGCCAAAGCAGAAGATAATTGTCGAGTTTTGCGGGAACATCTTCTTGTGGACCGGCACCGTGTCACCGAACAGAATCTTCAGATTCAGCGTCTGGAGCAAGAACTAAGCCATGCACGCGCCTCGGCTCGCGCCGACCATAGTCCCGCCTCAGCGGGCACGCAGCAAGCTTGGAGCCCCACTTACAGCCAGGCCGCTAGCAGTCCCTCCAGCGATGTGCACAGCCGCAACAGCGAAGCACCCACCCTACCCATTCCCCAGCAGACGGCGACCTACTCGGCCATGACAATGGAGGCCATGGATGACCTTTTGCCTGACTTGGGCTTTCAGGCCTCTCGTCCTTCGTTTGCCCAGTCACCCGCCATGAACATCCCCACCACGTCGCCATCATCCCACGAGTCACCTCCGATGGCCACCGAGTCTGCTCTCGCACCGTCTGCCCAATGGTCCCCGCCCTCAGATCGTATGGATATGAGTGAGGATAGGTCACATGAGCAGCTCGATGGGCCAAGCACTGTTGCTGTCAGCACCGACGAGCCGCCAATGCCAACGCTGAATGCCCTGTCTACTTCAAGTCCGATCGCTGCTTCTTTCTCAGCACGTTTGGTCCCTCATACATGGGATGAGGCCTTGACGGCTTCTTTGGATATGAGCGAAGACCCCATCGTAGCTCTGGACGGTGACTTTGGAGACATCCTGGCCGATCTATACCGCACCATGGAAGCCAGCGAGCCCGCCCCGTCATCAAAGCCCGCCCCCATCTCCCTTAGTAGCGACCTCTCTTCTGCTCTGAATGCCTCATCCGTGCATCAAGCCACGACGCTTCTAGCCAACATGTTAGGCGAACGCAGAATGAAGCGCAGCGGGCTTCCAACCTTTACGTATGCTTCCTCAACCCTGGGCCCCGAGCTGCTCAGCAACCGCCTTCTCAACACGTCCCTGGGCGTGATTCTCATCACCCCCAACTACGACACCATCTATTGCAACGAACTCGTTCTCAAGGTATTTGGCGTGACGGACATGACGGGTCTTGAACGCTTCAAGACGTGCCGTTATAATGTCACCGAAGACAAGAAGAAACTCATGCCCTACATGAGCGACCTCGTTGTCGGCAAGTCAGTGTTTGTACAGGCGGAAATTCGAGTGCGACGTGTGGATGATGGCCTGGTGTGGGTTCGTGAAACAGTGTTTTGCGTCTCGTCACGACGCGGTCCCGACCTGGATTTGAGCGAGAAGGCACTTTGTATCATTCTGGAACCTTGTGTCCCGCCCCCCGGAAACAAGCCGCGCTATCTCTCTAACTAATCACCGACTGGCATGTAAATGACTTGGGCCGAGCACCGAGCGTACCCTTTTTTCTCCATTTTAACCTCAACTCCCGCTCGGTTTGTTTTCGTTGCCGCCACGCTGGTGCCTCACGGCCCAGAATCATCTGGGATGGCGGTCAACGTTATCAAAAGGGTTTAGAAATGAAACCACGCCTTGCATGAAGACGGACTAACATCGAACCAGCGCTGTGCGCTGATTTTGAGACTTAAACGTGTTGTCCCTTTTTTTGTCTCGTTTTTGTTTGTTATTTGTTGTTGTTTCCTGCGCGCGATGATGCGAGGTCATCCGAGTCCACCATGATCTCTGATATGCTTGAGCAGTTGTGCGTGTGCACACGCGTCATCAATTGACGTCCAACTAGATGCAAACTCATTGTCCTATCCTAGCCTCTCCCCGGTCGCGTCCACGCCTCGCAGATTGTCATTCAAGAACCGCTCTCGTAAAACTGCAGGCGTGCATCCCATCCACCATCAATAACTACATGCTCGTGCGTGGAAGCCGCCAATGCCGTCACAAACTCTGAATGGCACGTGTGCTGGTTGATGAGCGGGCCCGAACTACTTGTAGGTCGCGATGCCAAACGAAGATCCCAGGCAAAGGTTGCAAAATCGTAGCCCGCGCTGTAGACCACATGCTCGTTGAAGACATCGCATAGGACTGCCCGAAGAGCCCCCCCCCCCCCCCCCAACGTAAACAGTGCATGTCAGATGGTCCGTTGTCACACCAAGGAGCTTACAACGAGCGCAACGCGCGGCATTGTCCATTCCTGTGCCACACCCAAGGCCAGAGCTAGGTTCAAAACTATTGGCTCGCACCGTAAACATTGGCATCGACGCAGCCCGTTACGACAAGGTGTTGATGGTATTTGTGCCAATCACAGGCTAGGACTTCGTGTGCGTGCTCCATGCGCTGTGTGGCAAAACGCGCATGAGCATCAAAGCCAGTGCAATCCTCTTGCTGTCAAGACATTCCGTTGTAGTACGATTGGTACAAACCTGGACCGGGCTGTGAGCGCTGCTCGTGTCCCAGATATAACACATGCGATCGGCTGCCACGGTGGCCAAAGTGCGGCCACCGGGGTGCCACGTTAGGTCATACACGTTGCCCTGGTGACCACGCAGCGTGATCGGGGCATCGTGTGCCTGTCCAGCATACACCTACGTTATGGGGGGCGGCGTTGCAGGTCGCAACGACGGGGCAAAGGGTGGGCGTCCAGAAAACGGTGAGAATGGAGACCTTGTCCCTTGTCATGCATGACCTGTGCCTCTGATGGTGAGTCGCGTGGTCACAGCACCTGGGCTTGACTGTCCCAGGAAACAGTAGCCATAATGGGCGTGCTGCGGTCGGGACTAAACCTGATCCTGAGATGTTTGCAGAGTTGCCATGGCAGCGTCAGACATCAAGCCCTCGTAGTACGTCGGCGGGGGCTCTGGACGGAGAGAGCAAGCTGCATACCGGTGTACCTCTGCAGTGTGGTGGCGCCAGTGTGAAATGGGATGCTCTTGTTGGGACTGGACCAGCCATTGTTGGACGCTCCCATCACCCGCGCACGTCCAGACACGCGTTGCATCGTGCTCGTCAAAGCAGACGCCAAAGAGCCCATCGTTCCAGGTTCGTCTAGGCACATGGGGGCAGGGTGAGCGACGATCATAGTCTGGCTCCTGCGATTTGGTGGACTGGGCCGTTTGCCTGTCTTTTCTAGCAAAGGGGAGCGTAGACACGGACATGGATGCAATTTTCCAAGGCGCTGCTGGAGCCGTGCGCTCCAAGATCAGCAAAGCCCCTCGTCCAGCAATGCCTGCACGATGGGAGGAGGCATATGCCCGTCGTGAGCCCCTGAGAGCTGACTCTGGTTGTTCCAAACAAGATGCAAGGGCAGCGTACCAAAGTTTTGAGCTGCTGCCACCGCAATGATACCAGCATCAAAGGGAGACCAAGCCAGATCATACGGATGCCATTCTGGCGGCAGGGACAGGTCCAGCAATGCTCGCATCTTGTTCTTGTGTGCACAAGGAATAAAGATGCACAATGGAAGATGCAGCAAGACTCTTTTTTCTTCACACAATTTTTTTTTTTTTTTTTTTTTGTCTGGAAATCAATTTGGGGTGTGGGATACACTAGTCCATCTGTTTCGAGAAACAAACAGAAATCCACTTGGAGTCGCCTCCAGAGGTGGGCGCTTGAGGGTAACAAGCCATGGCATCATGAAACATGTATGTTCGGATCGACAAGAGTGAGCAACAAAGGTCGCTACAACGAGGACCCAAGACAAAGCATACGCCAAAAGGGGTAGTCAAACAAGAAAAGTGTATCGGATCGAGGTTTCCTAATCATTTGTGGTCATCCGCATGTGCGCGCGATGACCACGGAGCTAGCTCACACACAAAACATCAGGCAAGTGCCTGAAAGCACGTCACTAGGATAAAGAGGCGCCGCCAGGGCAGGGCACGAGTGACCAGAGATGGGGGCCCACCGCCATCTACCAGTAAATTTGACGGGTTCCGCTGTAAGTCTGAATCTCATTGACAGCGGCATCCGTCTCATGGAAGAGCCGGCCGGCCAAGGTGGGGGCCACAATGTTAGCGCGGATCACCCAATCACCAAAATGCTCATTGTTGAGGCGTTCGCGCGCATAGCGAGAGATGAGCTCATCCAGGATGCGCAAGATATCCTCCTCGCTTGCCGAGTCGCGATAGATCTTGGACAGGCGGTTGCCAGCATAACCGCCGCCCAGGTAGAGGTTGTAGGCGCCGGGCGCCTTGCCGACCATGGCGATTTCGGCCATGAAGGGACGCGAGCAACCGTTGGGGCACCCAGACATGCGAATCATGATGCTATCGGAAGCCAGCTTGTTGCGCGTCAAAATCTCATCGATGCGATCAATGAGCACGGGCAGGTAGCGCTCAGACTCGGCCATGGCCAAGGCACAGGTGGGCAGCGCCACGCATGCCATCGAGTTGAGGCGCAAGCCCGAATGACGGGTGTTGTCAATGTTGTAGCGCTTGAGCAGGGCCTCAATCTTCGGGCGAGCCTCGGCAGTAACGCCGCCGATGATCAGGTTCTGGTTCGCCGTGAGCCGGAAATCGCCCTGGTGCAATTGCGCCAATTCGCGCAGCGCCGTCTTGAGCTTGTACGAATCAGTGTCCCGGATGCGACCATTCTCGATGAACATGCCATAGCAGAAGCGGCCGTCGTAGCCCTGGCTCCAGCCCATACGATCCATGTTACTCTCAAAGGTAAAGGGCCGCGCGGCCTGCAGCTTGAAGCCACAATGCTCCTCAACCTTGGCACGGTACCAGTCCATGCCGTGGTCCTCCAGCGTGTATTTGAGGCGAGCGTGCTTGCGATTGACGCGGTCTCCATAATCGCGCTGCACCAGCATCACTGCCTCGCCCACCTTGATTGCCTGCTCAGGGGTACAAAAGCCCATCAAGTCGGCCAGGCGTGGGTAAGTCTTGACATTTCCGTGGGTTGTGCCCATGCCACCACCAATCGAGACGTTCCAGCCGACAAGGCGTTTGTTCTCTACCACGGCAATGTAGCCCAGGCAGTGCGCGAACACATCCACGTCGTTCATAGGTGGCACGGCAATGGCCACCTTGAACTTGCGCGGCAGATATGACTGGCCGTACAAGGGCTCAACATCTGTGTGAGCTTCACCCGCCACCATTTTCTTATCCAGCCAAATCTCGTGGTATGCCGTGGTCTGTGGCTTTAGGTGGGCCGAGAGACGCCGCGCAAAGTCCAACACCTCAGCGTGTACTTCTGACTCGTACGGGTTGGGGCTGGCCATGACGTTACGGCACACATCGCCACACGCAGCCAGGGTGTCCATGAGACCAATGTTGATCTCGCGGATAGCGGCCTTGAGGTTCCATTTGAGCACCCCGTGCAGCTGGAAGGCCTGGCGCGTTGTGAGCTTGAGGGTACTGTTGGCATGAGACTCGGAGAGCGAGTCCATCAACAAATATTGTTCCGGGGTACAGACGCCACCAGGAATGCCAACGCGCACCATGAACGAGTAGGCGCGCTCCTTGCCCTCCGCCTCCAAGTGCGGGCGCAGATCGCGGTCATCCTGCTGATAGATACCATGAAACTTGGTCAGCTTGGTGTCCTCGGGCAACATGGCCGCAGTGGATTGGTCAGCCAGTGAGCGCATGATATGTCCACGCAGATAGCCAGACTCCTCCTTGATGCTCTCATCCTTCAAGACCTTGCCGGTGATCTCAGTCTCGCCTTCCACTGCGGGAACATTGAGGACCTCAAACACCTCAGCCTCCCACGGCACCCAGCCCCCGCTGAAGCCATTCTCGTGTTGATCATCACCCATGCCCAATTCCACCAGGCGCTCGGCACCAAGAGCCGCCATTTTGCTGTCCAGATCCCGGGCAGGCTTGCAATAATACCGAGCCGAGTCGGCCGTGTTTTTGCCCCAGTACTGGCTGTCGCCAAGGCCAAAGACCGCATATTTTAGATGATTCACGCCTCCCTTGGCTTTTTTGAGCGCGTTCCAAAAATTGACGGCGTTGCCACACATTTCGCCCTGACCAGCGGTGGACAGGATGAAGATGACCACCTCTTCGTCGGCCAGCTCCTCCAAAGTAACAGCGTTGGCTTCCGCCGCGCGAACTGTGACCACGCCACGCATCTCGGCCTTTTTGGCCAGTTTCTCGGCCAAGCCACTGCCGTTGCCCGAGTCGGAGCCATAGAGAACAAGGATGCGCATGTCAATTTTGCGACGCCCACCTCCCTGGCTCAGCAGTTCCATGCGCTTGTTTTGCAGGCGCAGCGCGCTGGAGTCTGCCAGGCCGTGGCTCAGGAGGGGCGTGTCACGCGTGAGAAGGGAGAGCTGAGACTCGCGTTCCACAAAATCGGCCAAATCCTTGCGCAGCTTGGATGAGTCGAGCACAAAAGCATCCCGACCAGCTTTCTCCCAAGCAGGGTTCCATCGGAAGAGGGGCCACAGGCCGCGCTCAACGGCTTCGTGCGATTCACGAATCTGCTGCTGCTCGCGGGGTTCGTTGCTGTTTGTGGGTCGTGGCGCATACGCAATGATGATGGAGGGTCCGTCATAGGCGTCTGCCTCGCAGAGGGCGGTGGTGGCTTGAGAAGGGTTCTCGTACAGTGCAATGCTGGCAACATAGGCGGTGCCGTAGTTCATCGCATACAGTCCAATGTCTTTCTTCGTGTTGAGAGCAGCGCGTTGGCTTGGCTGGGGCTGAGTGTAGAGGGCCGTCTCCGGAATGATAACATTCACGTTCTCGCGGGAGGCCAGCACGTGATGCAGACCAGAGTAGCCAATGTCTCGTGACCAGTCGTCACCACCAACGATCCACTTGGAAGGTTTGACCAAGTGCTCGCGAAGCTCATAGATGCTGCGCAAAGGCTCTTCGGTGTGGGGCGTGGATTCCAACCGGCGGACGATGTCGTCAGCGAGCTGGGCGCAAGTCTGGCTGTTATCGCGATTGGCGTGCCATTGGTTGAGGGCGGTGCGAAGCGCCGAGGGCAGAGCAGTGGTGCTGCGGCAGGCCGTGGCCACAAGGTCAGCCAATTTCTCGCGCTGCTGAATACGAGCAAGGTAGACACCAAAAGTGAACTCGGTATTGCCCTGAAAGAGCTCCTGCACCTTTTGCTGGGCAGCGGAACCGGGAGCGTAGGTCTCGTGAAAGAGGGAGTTGGTGCTGCCGGCATCGGCGACCACGGTGCGTTTGCCAAAGAGGGTGTTCAGCAGGGCTTGATAGCTGGCGTCTAGGCCCTCCTCACGACCGGTACGCAGGCCTTCCGCGAGGTGGTACGGCACCAGATGGGCTGCGTCAACGGTGTGGTCATTGGCAACCTCAGTCGACTGCAGAGCGCTAGCTGCAGGAATCAGAGCGTCTTCTTGGGCAAGGCGAGCCTCGAGCGTGGGCAACGCGGCCTCCAGGCGGGCGCCCTCGTCGCCTGCAAGACGCGGGGCCAAGGACTTGAGCAGCTGCTTGGCCAGGGAGCGACCGTTTTTGGTATTGAGCAAGCCAGCAGCAGTGAGCGCAAGGGCTTGGGCTTCGTAGCTGCCACCGCTCACGAGCTGAGTGGCGTCAACGAGCAAGAGCTGGGCTTTGCTGTCGACCAGGGCCTGCTGGGCGTGCGCAGGAATCTTGGCAGCTACAGATGCGGGGGACCAGTCGCTGTTGATGACCACCACGGCGCCCGTGGCTAGAGAGTCAAAGACGCGGTAGCGACGCAGAAAGAGAATGGCCGGGTCCGTGATGACAACCACGTCGCGGGAAACGCCCCCGTCAGTGTGACCATCATGCTCATCCTCCGGGCCCAACAAAATGTTGGAGATGAGAACATGAGGGGCAGCATCGCTGTCTGTGGACATTTGGACGGTGGCAGCACCAGCACCCAGCTTTGCCATGGCTGCGGCACGCTCGATCATGGGACGCGTAGGTCGTGTAAACTCATAGAGGGATACGACTGAGGTGTCAGCCACGGCGGCGGCGGGTGATGCCAGCAGAGAAGGAATGCTGGCGACGTCCACGATGAAGCTCAGGGCGGCGCGCAGGATGCTGCGTAGACCCTGTGAGCTGATGCCCTGTCCTGTGGCATTGGTTGCATGATTCTGCAGCTTGATCTGACCCGGACGGTTGGCTAGGCCGAGGCTGGCAGCCACATCAAGGTAGAGGGCCTTGGAGGCCTGCTTGTCCTCTGGCGAGGTGACGTCCACAACCACAAATTGCTGAGCGGTGGCCGGCAAGGCCTCGGCAAAGTCAGCGTGTGACCAAGGGCGAACGACGCGAACAACGAGCAAGCCAATTGGGAGTGATTTGCGCCCAAGGAGTTTGACGGCAGCTGTGAGGTTGGCAGCACCAGGCCCGCTGGCAACGAGGACGACCGTGGCCAGTTCCGAGCCATAGTAGTCAAAAAACCGCTGGCGACGCGATGTGAAGCTCTGAACACCCTCCATGGCGGCGCGCAACCCCTTGATGGTTTGTTCGACGGTGAGCAGGCCCGAGGCGGGAAGGTCGCTGGCAACGCCTTCGGCGCTTTGCAACAAAAGCTGAAGGCCAGCCTCTGTGGCCGTCTCGATGCCTCGGCAGGAGGCAGCCACATCCACGCCGTTGGTGGCAGTGATGCACAGGCTTCGCGCGGTCTTGGCAAAGAGATGTGCTACCAGGGCAGCATCGTGGGCCTGCTGGGCATTGTCACTGATGATAAGGGGGGCGCCAGCGCTGCGGGCTGCTGCGAGCTGGTTGTAGCTAGCAGTGAATGGTGCATCGGTGCCCGCCGAGTTTCCGATGGCAATGTCCACGACAATGGGAACTCGCTTGGCAGGGAGGTCGATGAGCTCCGAGGCCAATTCAAAAAGGCGATCGGAGCCGACATGAATGCTGCTGTGTTGGCCCTCGGCCGTGGCCAGCTGGAGCTCGCCCGCGGCCAGACCACCACGACGAGCCAGAGGCAGAATCTGAGGCACACAGTGATCCAAATTGACACGTTGAGAGGCGGCCCAATCGGCGATCAGCTGCGCTGTACTGGCAGTTGTGGGATTGTGGGGCGCCGTCATGACAGTGTCGGCCATCAAATAGCTGAAAGACAAAGGGAGAAGGGCAAGGCGAGTGCAGCAGCGGCATGAGAAGTGGAAGGTGAGGCGGTTTGGCAACAGCGCGAAAACGGGGTAGAATTAATCCCTCTGCTTTAAGAGTTGCTGGGTGGAAGCCAGACCACCCAAGCTGGGCCCGTTGACACAGATGCGAGGGCTCACCTAACATAGGCTGAGGCTGTGGCGGCTGTCGCACCCGTCTGCTGTCGGGGCTCAAAGTCGGCTTCGGCCTCGGACGGGCGTGCCATCGGTTTGCAAGGTGGCTTGGGGACGGCGCAGATGCCGGAGCTCGTCACGTTGAGCCGAGCTTTCAGGCTCAGATTCCTAATGTGCCGCGGGGGGGGGGGTGTTAAAAAAAAAAGGTGGGGAGTGGTCCAGGGTGGAATTGAGCTATTGTGACAAGGAAAGAGCATTGGCGCAGGTATCTGGGCAAGCTGTGACCTGTCACGCACCGCATTCAGGGCATTGAGGCGAGCATTGATGGTCTCGCGCTGCTCATCGGCCGTGCCAGCCTGCCAGCTGAAGATGTGTGGCTGTAACATGGTTGGAGGACGCGCACACCTGCAAGGAAAACGAAAGAACGAGGGCGGGGAAGCCGGCGAGCGGTGAGGGAGGTGACGATCCTCACCCACACAGAAACGCTCGACCGACAAAGGCTGGGGCGGAGGAAGAAGTAGAAAAACAGCGCGGGCTTGAATGGCATGCAATAACAGACCGTCAAGAGGTGGTACACGATTTCAGTGGTCTGGCCGTGCCTGCGTACGTGCAGCAGGCGGTTCTAACATGTCCGAGAGAGCGGGAGGGGCGGAAAACCAAATTGAGCCTGATCAAGCGGGCAGCGTTTTTGCGATCTCGCCCGTACGGGAGTGTAACAAGCAAGGACGCTGATCTCCAATCCCACTGCGAAGCTGGAGGAGGAGAAGGCATCCCGATACGTGCTGCGCCGTGACCCAAAGAACAAACAGGAGGAGCACACTCCATCCGTCGTATGTCGTCAGTCGTGCGGTACAAACCCAGTGATGGAAAGTGACACATCAACATCATGATCTCTCTCTCTCTCTCTCTCGCTTTTCTCTCTCTCTCTCTCTTTCTCTTTGTGTGGTGGGTGTGGAGATGCAGCGCAACGAGTTTGATCCCAAAGGCAGACACATGGTTGGAGGGGCTAGGGAGTAAGGAGAGTGTGTGTGCGAGCTGATTGGGACAACAGATCTGTACCAGCGCTTCTCTGGGCTTGCTCAGGGGCGCTGCCATTTGTGGCACACAATGTGCGCTGCGGCATCCATGAAATTGGTCAAACCCGTTTTCACACCCTTATGCACGATGCAAAGCTGTTTGAATGGAATATCGCCACACCAATGCACATCGACATTGAGCGGCCACGCGGCACCGAACGCAAGCATCATGGCTCGTCATCCACAACTCATTTTATTTTTGTATGATTTTAGGATCAAAATTCATTCGAGAACTAAAGTCCATATCGCTTGAAAGCGACAATTGTTGCGACGACACTTGCGCTGACAACTTGAGCAGAGCCGGTGCGACGCTTGCGCAAGCGCGCGCGCGTGTGTGTGTGAGCCGCCAGCACCGAGTTGGAAAAGATCGATTCACAGAACGCTTCCATTATAAGTCGTTGGGTAAATTACTATGCACGAACGAAGGGTTGATCGGCACCGGGCCTTCCACAATCACTTCCGCGTCACCAGACGGACGCACTCAAACTGATAGATGCAAGAAATAAGATGATAGCAACACACACGCACACACAACATGACGACACAGAAACCGGCTAGGTACCATACAAACAAAAGTCGAACCTGTTTTTGAAAGGAATGAAACCAATAGGAATAACCTTGCCAGTCGCTAGTCAAACAAGTGGCATCATGTCATGCGAAAAGAACGCTTGTGGACGGGGGGCGGCACGATTTCAGCCATAATCATCATGGCCTTGGCATCCCAACCCGTGTGAGGATGCCGACACTGGAGGACACTCATGGTACAGCGATGCCAGACCAGAGCCCCCGCCATGGTGCGGATTTTGCCAATGGCCGTGGCCGTGGTTTGCCCACCATACATGAGCGAGTCAAAGATGTCCTGGCACAGGTCAAAGTCCACCACAAACCCGCGCACCTGAATGAAGCGCATGCCTTCAGTCAAGGTCTTCGCCTGAATATGCTGGAAGGTGGTCGTGTTGCAGTAAATCATTTGAAAGTGCTCGTCCACAATGGCCATCATGGTCGAGTCAGACAGGAACGGTGTTTCCAACAGAGTGGGATTTCGGGAAAAGGCTCGGATAGGGCCACAAGAAGATGATGCAGATGCGGTATCGTGCGGTATTGAAGAGTCTGATGTAGCATTCTGCTGTGGCTGCGCTTGCGGCTGTAGTCGCGTTTGAGGCTGGGCTTGGAGGTGTGATTGCCTGTTGAATGAGGCTGACGGCAGCGTCTCATCAACCAGCCGCAACGTGTCATGCACAGCGGTATTTGCGACCTGACTTTCCGGGAGCCAGGCATTTCCGTCAAGCGTGGTCGTCACTGGCGTCAAGTCACTGTCATCAAGGGTCAGCCAACTGTTGTCCCGGGCATCGGGGGCACCGAGCTCGGGCCAGAGCAAGGGTGTGGTCTCTGTCATCGTTGAGGTCGAAGAGGGTCCAGCGTATAGGTGCCCTCGAGCTGCTCCCGTCTGAAAAGAAGGCCAGCCACTCCCGATGCCCGAAACATCCGAACCGCGTGACACTGAGCCCATGTTGTGATGAACATCTACACCACTGGATGTGGCTGTGGCTGTGTCGGACGTTGTCAAGAGGTTGGCGGCTGTGGACAATGTCGTTGAGGTTGTGGTCAGCTGTCGCTCAAGGTCAGCAACCCGTGTCACAAACTCCTGTCGCTCCATCTCAAGCTGGGACACGCGCAAGCTCAGCGCGGCGACGGTCTTGGTGGCCTGCTCCTGCTGCTGCTCGAGAGCGTGGGGGAGTTGCCCGCAAGCCAGACAAGGGCGACCACCACCCAAAGATGGGGGCACCATGAATGCAGTTGTCTTTCTAAATGCCGTTGACGAGCCAAGGGCCGCCTCAACGTGGGCGGCATCCTCTTCGAGCGTGCTCGGCGAGCTGGAGCAGGCTGAGGTGATGGAACAGGGCGAGGAGCAACGGCGCTCCGTGCTTGGGGAGCCAAGGGCGTGCCCCTTGCGCAGCATGTTGTTGGCACCATCGTCTCGCTGTGCTTGTGGTTGTTGGATGCGTTGCCAAGCCAGCTCGAGAACGGTGGCCTGATCGGTGCGGGGCGGCAGATTAAGCGCTTTCCGGAGCCGCGCAAAGGCCGAGTTGTGCCGCTGGCGTCGTTCCTTTTCAGTTTCACGATGCCGCTGACGACGGTGTGTGGAGGTAGCTGGTACCTCTGCCATCAAGGCAGTCGTTGGCGCGCTCTCCATGCTGATGTCACAAGCGGGCACGGGCAGAACTGCGCGCCAAACCGCGGGGCTTGAGAAAGGATCCACAAGCGTTCAGGTCTCTACGCCAGGCAATGCCCAGTATATTATACCATTCAGAAGCTTGCAAAAAAGGGAGGGAGACGATTGCACATCAACGGGCGCGCAGGGCCCGTTTTGACGTTTGGCCGCGGTGCCTCTCCCCGTCAGCCTGAAGGAACCCCCGCTGTACGCTGGCTGTCGAGGTCAGAGGTCTGCCTAAACTCGCACCTGTTTCAAGCAAATGGGCAAGCAGAAGAAATGCATCATCATGACAGCACCCGCCCTGCTATTTCTTTTTCGGAATGTTCCTAACTCTCTCTGTCTCTCTCTCTGTCTCTCTCTCTGTCTCTCTCTCTGTCTCTCTCTCTGTCTCTCTCTCTGTCTCTCTCTCTGTCTCTCTGTCTCTCTCTCTGTCTCTCTCTCTGTCTCTCTCTCTCTCTCTCTCTCTCTGTCTCTGTCTCTCTCTCTCTCTCTCTCTCTCTCTCTCTCTCAAACCAATTCATCTCTCTCTCTCTCTCTTTCTCTCTCTCTTTCTCTCTCTCTCTCTCTCTCTCTCTCTCTCTCTCTCTCTCTCTCTCTCTCTCTCTCTCTCTCTCTCTCTCTCTCTCTCTCTCTCTCTCTCTCTCTCTCTCTCTCTCTCTCTCTCTCTCTCTCTCTCTCTCTCTCTCTCTCTCTCTCTCTCTCTCTCTCTC